ACATCTATATGAGCTTGTTGGACGTCCCATTCTAAAACCATGGGCATTAATATGGAGTTGTCCTCCTTAATGGCTATAACAGCTTCCACTCTTCTGGGAAGCTTTCCACAAGATGTTGGAGAGTGTCGGTTGGAATTTGTGCTCATTCAGTCCAAAGAGTATTTGTGAGGTCAGACACTGATGCTGGACGAGAGGGCCAACTCACAATCAACATTCCAACTCATCCAAAAGGTGTTCAGTGGGGCTGAGGTCAGGGCTCGGTGCAGGTCACTGGAGTGAAGTACAGCTTTTTTTTAAAACATCACTTTAGCAGAAAATATGAACATGCATCATCCAGAAGATGAAGAATATTTAAATCCTTGTTTTGGTCAAGCATGTATGCGGTTTCAGCGTCGCTCCAAAAACGATGTGTCGGTCTCGCGGGTTCTGTGTTAAACGCTGCTCGCTGTTCTTGGGACGACGCTCTGTTTTCACACATACTCAGACTGAGAGAAATGAAAGAAATCAGAGTGAAAAACCCCATTACTGAGCTCAGATCCAGCCTCTTTATCAGGTTTCTTAATCAGATTTATAGACCTTAATGTGATCTAAGAAATCAGAGTGTGTGTTTGTACGACCACTTAAATAATCAGATAACTGCAGAAATCCAATGACGATCTGATTATTAAGTGCATGTAAATGCACTCCATGTCTTTATGGAGCTGCTTTGTGCACAGGGGACTCAGTCATGCTGGAACAGGAAAGGCTCTTCCCCAAACTGCTGACACAAAGCTGGAAGCAGATAACTGTGTAAAATGACTTTGTGCTGCAGCATCAACATCACCCTTCACTGGAACTGAGAGCCCAAACCCTGAGAAACAGCCCCAGCCCATCATCCCTCCTCCACCAAACTCTACTGTTGGCTCTGCATTCCGGTAGGTAACGTTCTCCTGACATCCACCAAACCCAGATTCATCATCAGACTGACAGATAGAGAAGCTGATTCATCACTCCAGAGAACACGGTCCCACTGCTCCAGAGTCCAGTGGCGGCGCTTTACACCCCTCCAGCCGATGGCATCGCGCATAGTGATCTTAGGCTTGTGTGCAGCTGCTCAGCCATGGAGACCCATTTAATAAAGCTTCTGAAGGACAGTACTTGTGCTGGCAGTCTGGAACTTTGTACTCAGTGATGCAACAAAGGACAGGTGATTTTTACACACTTTCTGCTTCAGCACTCGGTGGTCCTGCTCTGTGAGTTTGAGTGGTCTACAGCTTCATGCCTGAGCTGTTGTTGCTCCTGGACGCTTCCATTTTACAATAACAGCCCTTACAGTTATCTGGGGCAGATCTAGCAGGGCAGAAATTTCACAGACTGACTTGTGTCACAGGTGGCATCCTATAACAGAGCCATGTTTAAGGTCACTGAGCTCTACAGTGCGACCCTCTACTGCCAGTGTTTGTCTACGGAGACTGTAGGGCTACGTGCTTGATTTTATACACCTGTTAGCAATGGGTGTGGCTGAAACACCTGAACTCAATTAGGAGGGGTGTCCACATACTTTTAGCCATATAGTGTATTTCCGTGTTTTACTAATCCGTTGTGTGTTGTCTTTCCTGCTGGCCAGTCTTCCGTTGTGTGTGCGTCAGATGAAACTGAATATGGTAACAGATCAAAGTAAAAATGTAACAAATCAGTTTGAGACTGATGGTGAAAATATTAACATATCAAAGTAAACATGTAATGCATCAAACTGAAATTAGTGACAGATTGAAGTGAAAAATGCTAACATGCCAAAGTTACAATGTAACACATTCTGGTGAAAATGCAAACAGATCAACGTAAAAAATGGTAACAGATAAAATCAAAAATGCAATACATTAAATAGCAACATAATGCAGTAAAAACTGTAACAGATCAAAATAAATACTGTAACAAATCAAACTAAAACAGTAACAGATTGGAGTGAAAACTGTAACATGTCAAAGTTAAAATGGCAACATATCAAAATAAGTATTGTAACAAATGAAAGTAAAAATGTAACAAATAAAAGCAAAATTTGTATAAATCAAGGTGAAAATGTCAACATATCAAAGTGAACAAAGTAACATCAGAAGAGAAATGTTACACAGAACAAAATGTAACATAACAGTAAAAAACATTAAAGTGAAACTTCTAACAGATCACAGTGAAAATGTATCGGTTCAAACCAAAAAATGTAAGATTTCGAAGTAAAATAATAAAAATGAAATATCACAGAGAAACCTGTCATAATTTAAGTTAGGTGCGTTATAACAGTTGACGGTAACCTTGTTACAGATCATGAGTAACAGCTACTGAGTCACCAGCTGAGTTACTCTTTACCTTTAATCTACCACTTCATCTTTAATCTACCATCTCTTTACCTTTAATCTACCAGCTCTTTATCTTTAATCTACCATCTCTTTACCGTTAATCTTCCATCTCTTTACCTTTAATCTACCATCTCTTTACCGTTAATCTTCCATCTCTTTACCTTTAATCTACCGCCTCTTTACCTTTAATCTACCAGCTCTTTACCTTTAATCTACCATCTCTTTACCTTTAATCTACCATCTCTTTACCTTTAATCTACCGCCTCTTTACCTCTTTATCTTTAATCTACCGTCTCTTTACCTTTAATCTACCGCCTCTTTACCTTTAATCTACCGCCTCTTTACCTCATTACCTTTAATCTACCACCTCTTTACCTTTAATCTACCACCTCTTTACCTCTTTACCTTTAATCTACCACCTCCTTACCTTTGATCTACCACCTCTTTATCTTTAATCTACCGCTTCTTTACCTTTAATCTACAGCCTTTTTATCTTTAATCTGCTAATCTCTTTACTGTTAATCTGGGAAATTCTTTACCTTTCTTTACCTTTAATCTACCAAACACCTTACCTATAATCTGCCAAAATCTTTATGTTAATCTGTAATCTGTTTACCTTTAATCTACAGAGAGTTCTTCCTGAACTGGGGAGATCTGCTTTTATCCGCATAGCAGCACTGAGCTGGACTTCACCACAGTCTCTAAAACTCGCTCACTGGAGTCATTTTAAACTTTTAATCCATATCCACCTTCAGGCAGCCTGGAAGTGTTTTTGGTTCGTTTTGTTTTCCTTTCTCCTTTTTATTTAATTATATTTTAATCATTTTATGTATAAAATTATAAATATAAATATTTTGTTTTATTTGGCTGATTAAAATCTTACTTTTCTTATTACTGTTTCTATTCCATTCTTTTTAGAATCCTTTTATCTGACCGTTCCAGCTTTTAGTTTGCCATGTTTATCCTTTTATGTTAAAATGTATTTACTGGTTTTTCCCTTTTATCTGATTTTACTGTTAATTTGTTTATGTAATTCAGTTCATTTTAAACTGATTAAACTCCATTTTATTTTATTTTCCGTCGTTTGTGCTGTGGTTGCTCAGTTGCTCTGAAAGTGAGGGTCACTCAGTGTTTCTGACTGAAATGAAGGCTGACTGATTGATGGATTGACTGATCGATCAATTGATTGACTGATTGTACGTTTGAAGTACTTTAGTTACAAAAGTAAGACTTAAATATACACTTTTTAAACCACTATTTTGGCACATTGTTTTATTTTTTGCCCACCACTCCACCATAAACACCGCACTCACAGCTTCCCATGACAAAAAGTTTGTGCACCCCTTTCCTGGACACTAAGGTGAAAAGTGACCAAACGTAATGAACACATTAACAGAACGTCTAGATCTCTCAGCAAAGCAGTGAAACCATTTAGTTTGTTTAAATGGATTCTGGAGGCCCTGCTGGAAAAGGACCATCAGAAACCATTAGGATTAATAGGCTTTTTTAATGGAAATTGGCTCAATGTTTATCATTAGAGACCACTAGTGTTCCTTTAGATCCCATTAGGAAACCATCAAATTTGTTTAGAATCAGCCACTGTTAAGCCATTAAGGTCCTTTACACTCTGATATCCACCCATTAAAAAAGACAAAACACATTACAAAACCATCAGGAACCAACAGACACACTTAATGGTTTCTATGTTTTTTTCTGCTAAAAGAAATCAATAAAGGTTCTGCTGGTTCCTGGTGGTGTCCAATAGTCTCTAATGGTGTTGTGTGTTTTCCTGATGGGTTGATATCACCCTAATGGTTTAACAGGTGACCAGTGGCTGATTCTAAATGCATTTGATGGTTTCCTAATGGGATCTAAAGGTGTTCTACAAGAGCCTAGTGCTCTGGTAACCATTGAGCCAATTCCCATTAGAAAGCAGAACCATCAGGTTTTAATCCTAATGGTTTCTGATGGTCCTTTTTCAGCTGGGATGTCCTAAAACACCAGGCCGCTGGGTTCACTGTCCATCTGCGTTTCATCCTCATTACATCTTAGTAAGCCTTTCTCTCGTGCACACCGTTCCACTCCGTAGGCGCGTGGGAGCCGCCTGTATATCCGGGTTACCGGGTTCCATTGGGCGCACGCGCAGCCGCAGCTCGCGAGCTGAAGCGCCTCACAGACGGACTGGGCGCCGGACGGAAACACACACACACACACACACACACACACACACACACACGTATATATTTAAATATATCTATATTTATATGAAGTCATCGACGGCGCGTGCAGCACCCACCGTCTGCCTCTGCGTCACGAGCAACGAACGCTTCGGCACCTGCAGCTCAAGCTGCCTCCTTATTGGCCAGCTTCTCATTCTAATTGTCCGTTCCACCTTAAATGGTGCAGCAGTACCATTCTGGCGCCTCGCAGGCGTCGCTGTAACAGCTGCATCATTTAAGGTGGAACGGACAATTCCATCGAGGAGCTGGCGAATAAAAGGCCAACCTCGGCTTCGTGCAGGACGCGCGCGCGCTCACCCATATATGCACGCGCATATACACACACACACCCAAGCCCCTCTCGCCATGCACCATCCTCCCTCTGTCAGTCTCTCTCTCTCACACACAGAGCCGCACCAAGACAGTCCGTGTAGAAGGCGAGTCCTACCGTGGCGCGCGCGCGGAGACAGCGTCAGCGGCGGCGAGATCAAAAGATATAAACCAAAACCAAAAGGCCACAGTGACGAAAACATGATTATTCCCCCGAGCGCGAGCCTTTATCCGCGCCCGTGCGAGTGAGCGGCGGACGGCGGCGAGGCTGCGATCAGACTCTCGCATTCACACACTCACTGCTGCCCCCCAGCGGAACGGAAGATCACTGCTCTTAAAGAGACACCACCCTGATTCATCAACATCTCTCTCTCTCTCTCTCTCTCTCTCTCGCTCTCTCTCTCTCTCTCTCTCTCTCTCTGTCGCTCTCTCTCTCTCTCTCTCTTCATTATTCTCTCTATTCTCTCTAACGTTTCTCTCTCTCTCTCTCTCTCTTTCATTATTCTCTCTAACTTTTTTCCCCTCTCTCTCTCTCTGTCTTTTCTCCCAGCATCTCTCTCTTTCTCTTTCACTTTCTTTTTCTCTCTTCATTGTTCTCCCTAATTTTCTCTTCTGTCTCCCTGTATGTATACATCTTCTTATATATCTTCTTTCTTTCTCTCTCACTTTCTCTCCCTCTCTGTTTCTTCACACACATATGGAGCAGTTACCTTACTATATATATGTTCATTTGCTCTTTTGTAGCCCTATTAATGACAATTGAATATCATTAGAACTGATTAGAACTGATTAGATGTAATGACTCATGAGTAAAGGTCAGGCTTTTACACTGCAGGACGTCATATTGTCTGACTGTTTCTTACATTATTAGTGAAAAAAAAGTTCTCCCACTTTGAGCTGCTGTCTGTTACTGCAGGGTTCAGCACCTGCAGATTAAAATCCTCATGAAAATGATCACAGTATTAATATCAATCGCAGTAATAACAGTCATTAGTTTAATTAATGTTAGATATTCTTCACCAGGTTGGTTTCCTATACTGTCTCCCCAAACTCATGCTGGAAAAGTCGTTTCTAACTAAACTGTCTAACACAAAAATACATTTTATTTTACAGCGTTGATAGATACAGTTTATATTTGTTTATTTTTTATGATTTTTTAAATCTCCTAAATATTTACTATTAATCATTCAGTAACTCAATATCCACAATGTATTACTGAGTGCATACTATCAATTATTCAGTGATTACAAAGAAAATTCTGTGATTACCATGGATTATTAAGTACTCTACTATGAATTATTCAGTATCTACTATGAATAAATTCAGTGTCTACTATGAATTATTCAGTATCTACTATGAATTATTAAGTATCTACTATGAATAAATTCAGTGTCCACTATGAATAATTCAGTATCTACTATGAATTATTAAGTATCAAATATAAATTATTCAGTAGCACCTTACTGTAGGGTAGTGTTCATAAGAGGATCATGATAACTCACACAACCCTACATAAATGTTTATAAATGCTTAGTCCAGCAGGCGTCATCTGCTCTAAAGTTTACATTTTGATCAGTCAGCTAAGGTAGCCTTTATGACAGATGACACCTGTTGGGATAAGCATTTATAAACATTTATGTAGGCTTATGTCAGTTGTCATGACAACTTTATGTAGGTGTCATATAGCCTTATGAACAGCAGCCTACAGTAGTTTTACCAACTATTAAGTGTCTACTATGAATTATGGAGTATTTACTATGAATTATTCAGTATTTGCAGTGAACTGTTTGTTAATAGGTCTGTAAGTTACATTAACTATTATAACAGTTTAATTCTGTGCTATTTTGAATGTAACCAATCAGGTCACTCTGTACAGCATATAAACCAGCCTGAAACTCCTGCGGCTCCGCACCGCTAATCAGAGCTTTAACAGCCTGAGTCTCACACACACACACACACACACACACACACACACACACACGCACACACACACACTCTCGCTGTAAACACTTACACTCTCCTCACACGCTCACACTGATCTGATCACACTCAGAGAGAGAGAGAGAGAGAGAGAGAGAGTCAGAGACAGAGAGACAGTGGATGATGTAATGTTCTTCCAGATGGATGATGTCATCGTAGAGTATCGGTGAGGATTTAAAGGGCCGGTGCAGCTTTTTCATTCTCATGCTATGAACAGATCATAGATTATTTAACCACCACATTTGAACATATATTCTCTATTCATACTGAATAATAATGTATGATCATATCATAAGCTTCCAAAAATTATTCATATGCATAATTTCTTCTCTGATATTTGGTTAAGCATCTCCTCGCCTTAATAACAGCTCCAATCCTGTCAGGTGAGGATTACAGCAGCCTCTCTGAGAGAGTTCCTGTTCATGCTCATCCACTCATCCACTAACTTTGTGCTTCATCCCGAGAAGAGCACAACACTGACTCTCTCGCTGACAATACATCATCCCAAAAAAGGTACAGTAGAGGTACATTTTTGTTTCTCAGGGTACAGCCAATGTAAACATAACCTCAGAGGTAAAACAGTGGTCCCTATGGTCTGATTGTGTACTTAAAAAGGGTTTTATAGGGGCACTACATTCATTTTCAGGGAAAGGGGTGTATTTGTTTCAAAAACAATAAAAAAGACAAGGTGCAAGGAATCAATGTAATTTAAAAATATAACTTATACAGAATATGGTACAATTGTGTTCTATAGATTAAGGTACTGAAGATGTATTCCTGAGGGTACTACCCCAGTGACATGAGGAGTACCACCAGAGTAATGTGAGGGGTACCACCAGAGTGATATGAGGAGTACCACCAGAGTAATGTGAGGGGTACCACCAGAGTGATATGAGGAGTACCACCAGAGTAATGTGAGGGGTACCACCCAGTGAATGAGGAGTACCACCAGAGTAATGTGAGGGGTACCACCAGAGTGATATGAGGAGTACCACCAGAGTAATGTGAGGGGTACCACCAGAGTGATATGAGGAGTACCACCAGAGTAATGTGAGGGGTACCACCAGAGTGATATGAGGAGTACCACCAGAGTAATGTGAGGGGTACCACCCCAGTGACATGAGGAGTACCACCAGAGTAATGTGAGGGGTACCACCAGAGTGACATGAGGAGTACCACCAGAGTAATGTGAGGGGTACCACCAGAGTGATATGAGGAGTACCACCAGAGTAATGTGAGGGGTACCACCAGAGTGACATGAGGAGTACCACCAGAGTAATGTGAGGGGTACCACCAGAGTGACATGAGGAGTACCACCAGAGTAATGTGAGGGGTACCACCAGAGTGACATGAGGAGTACCACCAGAGTAATGTGAGGGGTACCACCAGAGTGATATGAGGAGTACCACCAGAGTAATGTGAGGGGTACACACAGTAATGTGAGGTGTACCACCAGAGTGACACGAGGTGTACTACCAGAGTAATGTGAGGGGTACCACCAGAGTGATATGAGGAGTACCACCAGAGTAATGTGAGGGGTACCACCAGAGTGACATGAGGAGTACCACCAGAGTAATGTGAGGGGTACCACCACAGTAATGTGAGGGGTACCACCAGAGTGACATGAGGTGTACCACCAGAGTAATGTGAGGGGTACCACCAGAGTGACATGAGGTGTACCACCAGAGTAATGTGAGGGGTACCACCAGAGTGACACGAGGTGTACTACCAGAGTAATGTGAGGGGTACCACCAGAGTAATGTGAGGGGTACCACCAGAGTGACATGAGGAGTACCACCAGAGTAATGTGAGGGGTACCACCAGAGTGACACGAGGTGTACTACCAGAGTAATGTGAGGGGTACCACCAGAGTAATGTGAGGGGTACCACCCCAGTGACATGAGGAGTACCACCAGAGTAATGTGAGGAGTACCACCAGAGTGACATGAAGAGTACCACCAGAGTAATGTGAGGGGTACCACCAGAGTAATGTGAGGGGTACCACCAGAGTGACATGAGGAGTACCACCAGAGTAATGTGAGGGGTACCACCAGAGTGACATGAGGAGTACCACCAGAGTAATGTGAGGGGTACCACCAGAGTGACATGAGGTGTACCACCAGAGTAATGTGAGGGGTACCACCAGAGTGACATGAGGTGTACCACCAGAGTAATGTGAGGGAAACTTTTCTGTCTGACTTGTGTCGGCCTCACTGGTGTGTCACATTGACATATGCCGTTATAGTCTCGCGGGAGCGAGCCACCGCAGTTGCTCACCAATGGTTTGAAAGTATGTTGTTTGATGTGATCAGGTGATTCATTATCTCCATTTTGATTGGCTGTTTCCTAAAGTTGAGACACTTTTAACTGTTGCAGTTAAATTTCAACTGAGTTGCAGAATGCTTTACATGATGCAACTCAAGTGCAAATTAGCTTCTTGTAGGTCTTAAGCAACAATGTTGCATGAAAGTTTTATCGTGTAAGCCTTAGAAGATTTATTGGCCTTTCATAGCTGCTGCCATCTAAAGGTAATAAGTAGGTACTATATCCACCGTTACTAAAATACAGCAAGGGATACAAATGCATAAATAAATGAATAAATAATATCAATGCAATTGTTAAAATTATCAGTGCAAAGTCATGAAAATAGAATCGAAATTAATCCATAATAATCAAAGATGAAACTCTGCATTTGAACCTGTGTTTATTTAGATTAACTTAGAATCTCATGCACTCCAACAAAAGCAAAATCAGAGCAGAAAAGAGAGTCACTCTGTTATTAGTGAACACAGCACACTTCACAGCAACAACGTTTCTACACAACTCATCCATTTACATGTTTACAGGGAAGTAAATAATAATTTACACCCAACAACAATCATGTTTCTTTCTTATTTAAACTCCAGATCACATTCTGTAGCTCTCTGTCTTATACTGTAGCTGTGCTGAATGTGATTGTAAGGGAGAGTGGGGCACAAACGAACACATTTTTTGCTAAATAATTTCAATAAAATGAATAAAACTATGTATTTGCTACGAAATAAAATAAATTTTGTTATGAGCGACTACCGTTTGTAAACGATTTAGCCAAAAGCAACACAAGTGCAAATGTGACAAACCACTGCATAATGGGACCAGTTAGAACAGTCACTAAAAATCCTGTTAAAACGAGACAAAACACGACTAAGTCAATACGGTTCTATGTTGTTTAAGAACAGACGAGCTAAACACATACAGATATATTAATCAAAACACATATAATCACTGAAAAGAACCTGTCAGCAAATATAAGCACCATAAAAAAACACATTTTAAAAAGACGGTTCTTCAAGGGTTCTTTATTAAAAAAATGGTTTGATATAGAACAATGAACGCTCAAAGAACCCTTTGCATGGTTAAATGGTTCTTCAGATTGATGGAGATTGATGTGTTGTATATGATTCTATACCGCATCAAAAAGCGTTCTGCTATGGTTTTGATGTCAAGCTTGTATACAATAGCAGAACCCTTTTTGGTGCGGTATAGAATCATATACAACACATTCTCCATCAGTCTGAAGAACCATTTAACCATGCAAAGAACCACTTAATCAAGCAAATGGTTCTTTAAGTGTTTATGGTTCTATATAGAACCATTTTCTTCACTAAAGGACCCTTGAAGAACCATCTTTTTTAAGTGTGTACATTTCTAATTATACATTGTACATTACCTCTCTGTATGTAGGGATGTAGAGTTCTCTCATGGTTTACTTTGGGGGTCTTAGTTGTGATAGTGTGTTAAACTAACCCCCCCGTGCGGAGGCTGTAGCTCTCACTCAGTTGTTTATATGCTTTAAAACGGCACCATATTAGAGAGGAGATTAAAATAACACAGTAATATAATATCACTATGTGATTCATACTCACAACTTAGCAATCAAAAACACTGATGATGAATAAAAGTCACTGTTATAGTATAAAAACGTCTTCCAGGTGAATCTGGAAAAACATCTGTCAGACTGCTGTCAAAATTCACAGATGATGTTGCTATGGGAACACAAGAAGAGGAACAAAAGCACGTTCTACAGGAGCCTGTTTAACTAAATAGCCATGTGACGTTTACCCTGCGTTAGGTTGTGCCTCACTCTCTCCTGATATATCACTGCTGTCTGAACAAAACCTTGTATCCCCATTTTTGGCGATTTTCAGTTTTGGGCATCATTTGAAAAAGCCTGTTGTTCTTTACATTGTGTGTAAATTCCATGATGAATGGACCAAACGAAACGGCCCAAAATGACTTGGAAAAAAGTCTGGGTACATTGACTTACATTAAAAGTAAGGTAAGTTTTTTCCTTCTGTTATTTTGGAGATATGAGGTTTTGTTCCGACAACAGCGATATGTGGATATAAACACATGTTGGCAGACAGGATTAATTTTAATACAAATGTATAAATGCATAAAAGCCTTTTATGTTGGATTTTTAATATACACTCACAATAATGAATGAATAAAATATACATGTGTGCGTGTTCATTTGAATCTGTGTGTTTCAGGCTGTGTGTGTGTCTATGTGTTGAGTACAATAGAACCAAAAATCACTTTTAGGACTTTTTTTCTTCATTTTTAAAGCTCCAGTGAATCTTAATCCTTACTGTATTCTTTCTACGCAGGTCAGTCTTCCCCTTGTGGGCATGTATACATGTACAAAGTGTGTCCTGTATGGCCTGTAAATAGTCTACTAAATGGCTGTTATGTCCTCTTTTGGTGAGCAGTTTGAATCTTAAGTAGTGTGTACGTAAGTGATATCATTACCAATCACAAGGCTGTAACAGAACTGTGTTCTATTCGTCCATTAATTTGTTTGTCTGTATGTTCATTCAACCATGTTAGCATACCCTTTCAAAAAAGTATACTTAAAGTTCATTGTATTAAGTAAATTTAAGTATATTTCCCAAGTATACTTCATGTAGTAACTATACTATATCAGCGTACTAGTAGTGTACTTGTAAGTGTACTATTTCAGTACTTCTTGGGACTAAATTGGCCGTACACGTATAGGCTGAACATACAGGGTGATTCAAAAAGATTCATCCGATTTCAAAGCGCCGTATTTTTCCAGCCGTGAGGCGCAGAGGAACCAATCACAATCCAATTGTAAGAGGGGTTCATAGAGTTTCTGACTGTCAGTGGAAGATGGCTCCCTTCAGTCTGAGAGGAGATGAGACCCCTGATCAGAAAGCGTTCTGCGTTCTCCACTTCAATAAGAGTGAATCCGTCATAACTGTGTGATTTTCGTGGGCAGTGAAGCTCCAGCAGCTCAGAACGTTCGGCGTTGGTTCCACAACACTGGATGATCTCCGAAATCGCACTGAAAGAGCCGTGAGTGCAGCGACACCCGACACGCTCAATCCAGTATGGGATGAATCTGACTGTGGCGTTGATGTTGTCTGTACAGCTGGAGGAGCTTCAAACTGAGACCTTGTACAATTACATAATAAACTTTATGCTCATTTAAACCATTTACAGTTCACTGCATTGATCTGTAATGATTTACAAGGGAAATAAATCATTTTGAAATCGGATTAATCTGTTTGAATCACCCTGTACTGTAATACTTGTATACTCGTAAGTATAAGCCAAGTATACTGAAGTATAGTTTTGTTTAGTATATCTCTGATAAGTATATAAAAGTACACTGACTTTTAGTTTAGAAGAAGCTTACTAATAGCACCCTTGAATAAACTTCTTTTGTAAGGGTTCTCTGTATGCACATCCAGCAGTAATGTGAATAAGAACCTTCTTTAAGACCTGCTCATTAGAATATGAAGCCACGCCCAGACATTTCTCAGGTAGGTCTGATAAATGATCTTTAAGCCATGTTTAATTAAATTTCTATCTTGTTTTTTTTTTTCATTAAAACTTTGCTGGCTGTTTAAATAACACTCACTTTTAGTATCATACACACATTTTAATATATTACACTGTATTCACTGTGACTTTGATTGTTATTACCCACGACTACTTCTTCTTCTTCTTCTTACTATTATTATTATTATTATTATTATTATGACTATTAATGTTTTATTATTACTGTTAGTGTTATTATTATAACATCACTGTGCGCAGCAATCTCTATAGGCTGGTGCTCACCACAGTAACACGTGGCTTGAGAAACGGAGGGCTGTGATTGGTTACTGAGTTCTTAATAACACAGCTATAGACCGGCTGCCTTGTTTTTGCACCATTGGTGACATCACTTCCTGTCTCTGCTTCTTTCTTCTCAACTTCTCCAGTCTCTGATGCTGGCTGATGATTGCGTGTTGGAGGAGGTTCAGCACTGTGATTGGTGGAAAGGTTTGAGTTCTGTGCTTTGACTCTGCCCACTGCATTCCCACAATCCTCCTTGGGTGATTTTGGGCCGTTATCCTCAAAATGAATTTCCTCATAGATGCGCAGCTCCAGTCCTGATTGGTCAGAAAGACACGGCATGTGATTGGCAGATGGAGTCACGGTTGGCTGAGTGGGGGCGGAGTCTAACGGCTGATCGGCTACAGTGCTTCTGTAATCCTCTGTGTGATTTTGATTGGGCATTTCTGATTGGGCACTGTGGCTCCGCCCACCATCTTTATGCAACTCACCCTCAGGAACACTGGAGTTGTTCTGCTCATCTTCACTAAACGTGTGATTGGCTGGTTGATCTGAATGCTGATTGGCTGCAGTGGGAAGCGGCTGCTCTTCATCCTGAATGTTGATGGGAATAAACTCCTGCCATTGGCTGGTGGACAGAAACCACTCTGTCCTTTGATTGGTGGAGGCGGAGCAGTTTGAGTTGTGTTTCGCTAAACTCTGAGCTGCGTGATTGGCTCCCTGAGACTCAACAGTAAGTGTTGAAATGTGATTGGTGGAAGAACTCTCCACCTGAACTAAAGGAGGGTCTTCGGCTTCATCTCTCTGACACGCCTCCGCAGATGGGCGGGGTTTTAAGCTCCTGTTGCCATGGATACGGCCTCTGTTAGCATGCAGGATGGCAGAATCTGAGAAATACAGGAGCTGGAATGAAGACAGGTTCCACACAAAGAAGCCTAAACAAAAATAAGCACTGACTGCAGTACATGATCTGGGTTACACACCACACAGCAACAAAAAGGCTCCTGTATGGATGATTCTACTGAGCTGGTTCTGAGTTGAAACACATTTGGGTCTTTGAACTGATCTTGGACTTTAGATTAAAATCCTTTTGCTTTGAGTGACTCTAAACCTTAATTATGTTTATTTTATTATAACATGTGATTGAACATTCCATTTTGTCTCTACCAAAACAATCATAACTCTACCAAACTTCACCTTTGTGTTTTGTTAGTGACATGAAAACATGGTTTGACTTTTTAAAATTAAAGTCATGATAAATTTTAAATCTTTCAACTTCACTTTAAAAGAATAAAAAATATCTAAAAAAAAAACAAAGTATGTGTAAATTTAGTGGTTATGTTTTGGGACAGACACCTCCCAATAAAAAGTACCCTCCCTGAAAGTCTCTGACCCCTTAACTGTATTTCAGCTTCAAAACCGTCCTCTTTACTCTGTGCTGTTCCTCCCTGTAAATCCTCATCCTGATGCCCCTGTTGCTCTACAGTCTGGTTAAGGTTCTCTCTGTTTCTGCTCTGTTATCCCCTATTTGGCCATTTTCTTTTATATTTGTCTGTAATGTGTTACTTGTGTTCTGTTTGTTTGCCTGTTATTTTTAAGTTGATGGATTTAGTAAAGCGAGCTCGAGTTTGAGAATCATTAATAAGCGTTTCCGTAGTGATGACACTGTAATGAGCAGGGTATGTAGATACTGCAGGAGTGATGGTGAATACCTGAGTGTTCTCTGGTCTGGAGGAGCTTCAGAGGGTGAACTGCCTCCATACCGCTCGCCCTCGATGCACTGAGAAAGAGAGAGAGAGAGAGAGAGAGAGAGAGAGTTCAGAAATAAAGCTGTATGAATATATTTTATGTAATAATGTTATAAATAGTGATTGTCCATAAAAATGTGCAGAAATGTGTTCTCTGTAGAGGATGTATTCATTTGACAGAGAGTGTTCAAACTTTTGCGTATTTTAAATTAAAATATTTAATTAAAATATCATATATCATAATTGTTATTATATTCAGAAGTAAAATACAGAGATTAAAGCATGCAAAAATCGTCATCTTGGAATACCGGGAATGTTATGTTCCTCAGAAAGATGATGAGCAAAAAGCAAAACCAGGTTGCCCAGCAGCTCAGTGTCGGCACTGTGGTTCAAATTTACTGTCACCTCAACCAAAAGACCCATTTCAGCTTAATTAAAACACCGCAGAACATCACAGAGCTCCTCCAGCTTGAACCACACCTGCACACAGTCCTCATTGAAGGCTTCCTGAGGTCTACGATGAACACGATGCTCAGCATCATTCACATACAGGCAGAAACCAGATTCATCTGACCAGATAACACCTGCAAATTCAGCTACTTCCTTTACACTGTGGCACCCAAATACAATCACTCCTTTTAGCCAATCATTAACATCAACTTTCACACATGGATTGAGACATTCACTGCACTGTACCACCTTTTCTCAATCTATGAACCCCGTTGCACACTCTGCAGGTATTTATAGCCCCATCATCCTTGTGCAGCGCCATCTGCAGGAACCTGAAGGTATTACCACCTTAAACATGCAAGGTGACAAATTTTTTGCCCAGGGAGTTTTTTAACATTACCGTCTTAAGTTACAATTGTGTGATATTTCTTTTTGTTTTGATATTTAAAGTGTTTGTTAAAAAAGGCATGTTAGAGTGTGTGTGAGCCTGAACGCAGGTGTGTGTGTGTGTGTGTACCTCCTGAGTACTCTCTCTCTGATGCGTTCCACTCGTCTGCGTTTAGCGTCTCTGTGTTCAGCGCTTGTGTGTGGATCGCGCTCTGAGTGCTGCTGTATGAAACAAAAACACACTCTTTAACACAAACTGCAGTCGTTACAGTAGCAGCACATTTCACACACATTTATCTGAAGTTGTTAACCTGGACTGTGCAGAGTTCTGTCTGACGACGCATGAAATCACGTGAAAAATGAGAAGTCTGGCATCTTATTTTCTAAAGACAGACTACATGTAATAAGCATTCATAACAGTAAAAAGCAGCAAATGTAAGTGTTGGTCCAAGTCATATGACTAGAGTCTACACCTCTGCTCAGTCTGTAAGCCAGACAGAGCTCAAAACACTGATCGCCAGCAGCCAGTTGCACCAGCTGAACGTAAGTTTGATCGTAAGTTGGCTGTAAAGTCCATCCTAAACCTCAAGTTGAGAGTAGTTAGTTTAAAACGAGTGACACACAGAATTTCGGTTGCACCTCAAATAAAATAAAGTGATCGTAGATCAGAACACTTTCGCACAGAATGACGTTTTCACTCTGCAGCCAATCAGTAACAACAAAACAGGAAACATAACGCAGTGAAATCACTCGTATTTCTCTCATTTCAAGCCACATTTACTTCATTAAAGTGTGTCGGTCGTATCAGCTATAATTCAGAAAGAGGCTGAGGTTTACAGTAAAGTTGTGTCCTCAAAGCCTCCGTCTCTGTATGTGTGCTTATTCTGTTCTGCTGCTGGAATTGTTCCAATGTTCTAACTGGGTTCTCGTGCACAATATTTTAATGGCACTTTATCAATGAACAGTCGGTGACGTTATCGAGGCTGCTGCTAATGTAATCGTTGTTTGAATCTGCTGATGGACAGAAAGGTAATGTTAGCTATGTTAGTTTTATTTTTAAAATAATCTGTGTTATGTATTGTATGATAATGAGGTCAGCGTCACACACAGCCTGAGCTCTGATGGAGCTGCTCATATTGCTCTGAAGGTGTTGACTTGTGTGCTTGAACAGAGTCGGTCACCAAGTTTTGGAACAGCCCTGTAGAAAACTCAGTGCCGGACACAAAGCAGGACTCAGGGCTCCATTACTGCCTGTGTTGTGTAAATCTGTGGTATACCGAGAGGTATTTCATTTTCTTTTAAGTTTTCTCATCGATCAAATTGATCAGCCAATTTAACTGATTTTTACAGCAGAACTTACATCGACTACAGGGTGAGTGTAAATTTAAAATTATAACTTAAAGCTACTTTGAAACTATGTTACTCGGTGCAACCGGTTAAATTCTAGTAGCTCATAAACTTTAATGTAGTGGCAGGTTACATTCAGACGAGGCTACGATCAAACTTACATTCAGCTGGTGCCGCTGACTGCAGGTGTGCTGTTGAAGACATACAGCCAACAGTTAGAAGGTCAACATGTAGAAATAAAGCGAAAGTTACTTTTCCTAGTAACTAATTACTTTAATACGCAGTAATTGGTAAAGTAACTACATTTTGAAAGAAGGAACTAGTAACTGTAATTAATCACTAATTAAGTGTTTGTGGGCAGTGTTAGCCTCGTAACTCCGGTTCTAAACCAAAGAAGACAAATTTGGACACTGAACGTGTCTCAGCTGATCAACTAAATCTTGGCTCAGTAGAAATTGATGTAAATTACCCCCCCCCCACCTGAGCCTGGATATACATCATGAGTCGAGGGTCTCCACTCACTCGGCTCTCCCGCGGGTTCTCTTCAGGGGTCTCTGCTGTCCTCCAGTTCCCACTCTGCTTCTCCTGTTCACTCAGCAGCCGGTGGGGTGGGTTTGTGTTAGTTGGGGTCATCCTGGCGCCCGGTGCGGTGGTCAGTGTGTAAATCTGCTCGGGCAGAGGAGGGATCAGTTCAGGCGGGGGGTCCTGCACGCACACTCGCCGGGCGGTCAGAGACGAGGGCAGAACAGCGCTGACCACCCGAAGCACACGCAGAGGAGATGGCTGACCATCCCCTAGGGTGCGGGGCTTATCATCTGCCAGGGGGTGGGGCTTATCGTCCGCAAGGGGGCGTGGCTTATCGTCACGGTTTGGGGCTGAGCTTGTCTGATTGGCCGAGTTTTCCTGATGTTTACTCTTATTGGCTGATCTGTGGTCATGTCTCGGCCTCCTGTCCCTCTTCTCCACCTCCGTCATCATCCCCTTCTGACAGAGAGAGAGAGAGAGAGAGAGAGAGAGAACAGAGAGAGAGAGAGAAGGAGAGAGAGAGGGAGAGAGAGAGGGAGAGAGAGATAGAGAGAATGAGAGAGAAGGAAGACTTAACTTCTAATGCAGCTCTTTTAATAAAACGATAGTTCAACAAAAATTTAGGTTCCCCCAGTTTCCCCTCGTAGCCTGAATGTGGTCGATCAGCTGAGTCGTGTTTGGTGTCTGAAGTTTTCCTCTTTAGTTTTAGCTCTGGAGCTACGAGGCTAATGTAGCTAACAAGTGACAGAAGCTACCCATCGGTTAGCGTGGTGCTAACTGCATGTCTAAATCATCACATGTCTCAGACTGTGTGGAGGTGTTCAGTGTCTCTAATAGCCTTCATTCTGTGGTTTCTGACACTGTATGACTCACTGTGATCTATAAACACGGACTAAAGTACATTGTGATTCCTGTAGTATTGATTTCTGATTGGCTGTATTAAAAAGCTTAATTACCTTTAAAGATGGACCAGACTCCACCCATCCACAGGCTGAGTGAGCTTCTGGATATGACAGAGAGAGAGAGAGAGAGAGAGAGAGAGAGAGAGAGAGAGAGAGAGAGAGAGAGAGTTTTTCAGTAATCACTAATACGGTGTAGGTTAAAATATACACTAGACACTAAAACATAAAATTGCTATTCGATTATTTTTATCATCATTTCAATTTTACTATGATTTTAGTTTAATGAACATCCAGAATGAATTGTACTAGGACTTCATTCCAGATATTTAAATCTATTGGGATGTCATTTTGGAAATTTATTCTATTGGGACCTGATCATGAATATTAATTCTATTGGGCATTAATTCTATTAGGAGCTTATTTTGTACATTAATTTGACTGGGACTTCATTTATGATATTAATTATATTAGGACTTCATTCCAGATATAAATTCTATTGGAACATAATTTTGGAAATTAATTCTATTGGGTTAATTTTATTTGGACATTCTGGACATTCTATTGAGACTTCATTCTAGATATTAACTTCTATGAGGACTTCATCCCAGACATTAATTCTATTGAAACATCATTCTGAATCTTCTTTCTATTGAGTCTTCATTCCAGATATTAACCCTCTGGGGTCTGAGGGCATTTTCTTATATTCGCCTTTAAAAGCTCCTGCATACGACATAAACAATTCTGAATATTGATTCAATCAGCACCTCATTCCAGATATTAATTCTTTTGGGACTTCATTTCAATTATTGATTCTAATGGGACCTCATTCCAGACAATAATTCCATTGGGATATCATCCTGGACATCAATTCTATTGGGACTTCATCCTGGATTAGAGCTTCATTCTCAGTTGTTATTAAATCCTCAGCTGTTCATCGTCTGAAATGTCCTCATGTGTACAGCTCTGCTGACTGTCTGAAAGCTGGGCAGGTTCATCATCATGTGCAGATACAGTACCTGAGGTGTGTGTGTCTCTGAGTGTAGAGGAGTGAGAGGAGCTGCAGCTCGGAGGATCTAATGGAGAACTGCAGAACACCGGCTGAGAGAGATAGAGAGAGAGAGAGAGACAGAGAGAGAGAGAGAGAGAGAGAGAGACAGTGAGAGAGAGAGAGACAGAGAGAGAGAGAGAGAGAGAGAGAGAGAGAGAGAGATTCATCATTGAAATGAACTATGTAAATATTACAGTATGCATGGTTACTTTATGTAAAGAATGTATGTGATGACATTGCTGACTGTCTTTTATCTAATAAGTGCATGTTGATTAAAAACAACAATAAAAAAAAACAAATCGCCTTATCATGACTTTTTATAACAACCCCTTATTTGTAACACAACAGCTAGCTAAACCTGTCCTGGTTAAGGGGCGGGGCTGTGTAGTGTAATTAGTACATATTTTGTGAATTAGAACAGTATTTTTCATTATGCACACTGTACTGATACACAGTTAATAATAAACACTTTTTGACACAGAGTGAAGAAGCCAGCTGTCATTTAAACCAAGTCAAAATGTCATGATAAACGAACAAATGGATACAGTTTTGAAAGACCTGGGGTAAAATCTTTTTACTTAAATACACTGAAAGGTAAGAATGTTTTTTCTTCTCCTGTAATATTACTTTTTGAAATTCAGGAAAGAAGACTATGTATCTCCATTTTTGTCATTTTTTATATTTTTACATAAAGTCATAAGGCCAGTATATTGTGTCACAATTTTGTGAGAAGCAGACAGACAGAAATAATCGAAATTACACTGAATAAAATCTCATTGCATTAACTTCTATTCTAATAATACTATTATTATAACCTAAGAAGGTTTGTTCCTTCTCCTGGAAAAACAAGGTTTAATTCCAACAGCAGTGATAAAGAGATCATTCTACTGAATGATTACAATCTGCCCTCCCACTGTACTTTAAAAAACCAAGAGGAATTCATATCTTAGATATTTACAAGTATTATGTTCTGATTTATTTAACCCAATGTATTAATAGAGATAATAATAAGTTAAATATTTACATTATTTATGGGGTACTTTATTTGTATTTATTGTTTTGAAGTAAATGTGTCCCAAAGTCTGAAAATCAGTGTGGAACATTAAGAATCGTCATATTTTCTGCAGTTCAGCACTTTTTAGTGTTTTAGGGTAAAATATGATGATTTTCTGTGTGAACAGCTGTTCAAAGCTGTGTTTGCTGGTCATGAACTGCTGAGTTTCGGAGCTAAAATTGTCACCAAACAATCACTACTAAAACATTTGGTACAATTCGGTAGTTATGATTGTTTTGGTAGCGACAATATATATATATATATATATATATTCAATTTTCAGTCTGTTACAGTTAACTCTGTGGGATAAGTTGTAATATTTTCTCTCAGGCCCCTTTAATAAACGGTAGGCACTAGAAACAAAGTTTATGTTTTCTTCTGTAGCAGAGATGTATGAGTTATTGTATACAAATATTATTAATTTTGAATTTCACTCACCTTAGGACATGGCTCTGCCCACCCAGGCCTTAGCTCTGCGCTGTGATTGGTGCCTTGCAGGTTGTGAGGTAATGGTGGGCGGGATGGTGCCTCTGGCTCCTCCCCCTTTAGGATGTGAATCAAGTTTTCGTTAGCCTATCTGAGCAGCTGATTTCCTTTCAGCCCCTTAGACTGTATCTCTCTCCTCCATCATACTAACTCTCTTACAGTACAGTATACATCACACTCTACACAACTACACTTACATACAGGAAGCTCAACAATTATTGGCACCCCTCAGTAAAGCTGAGAGAAAAAGTGATAAAACTGAAAACTATGACATAAATCTTGATTTTTATTGTGGTAAAACAGAAGAAAACTTCTTTATTTCCAAAAGCCATATGACATCTATAAATATATACCATATGTAATAACCCCCACCCCCTACCCCACCTCCAAACCAGCTCACCATGTACTGCATGTTCTCCACAGGATGGACTGATGGGTTCTGAAATACAGGAGGAAGAACTGGGGAAAAGAGAGAGAGAATGAGGGGATAAAAAGCAGGTATGGATGACTAGCAGCTCCCGAGCTGGCTATATGTGTTCTTCTACTACAGCCTCCTGTTCCTCTACTACTGCCTCCTTTTTCCTCTACTACAGCCTCCTTTTCCTCTACTACAGCCTCCTGTTCCTCTACTACCGCCTCCTTTTCCTCTACTACAGCCTCCTGTTCCTCTACTACCGCCTCCTTTTCCTCTACTACAGCCTCCTGTTCCTCTACTACCGCCTCCTTTTCCTCTACTACAGCCTCCTGTTCCTCTACTACAGCCTCCTTTTCCTCTACTACAGCCTCCTGTTCTTCTACTACAGCCTCCTGTTCCTCTACTACAGCCTTCTTTTCCTCTACTACAGCCTCCTGTTCCTCTACTACAGCCTTCTGTTCCTCTACTACAGCCTCCTTTTCCTCTACTACAGCCTCCTGTTCCTCTACTACAGCCTCCTTTTCCTCTACTACAGCCTCCTGTTCCTCTACTACAGCCTCCTGTTCCTCTACTACAGCCTCCTTTTCCTCTACTACAGCCTCCTTTTCCTCTACTACAGCCTCCTGTTCCTCTAATACAGCCTCTTTTTCCTCTACTACAGCCTCCTGTTCCTCTACTACAGCCTCCTTTTCCTCTACTACAACCTCCCTTTTCTCTTGCTACCGCCTTCTGTTCCTCTACCGCAGCCTCCAGTTCCTCTACTACAGCCTCCTGTTCCTCTACTGCAGCCTCCTTTTCCTCTACTACAGCCTCCTGTTCCTCTATTACCGCCTTTCGTTCCTCTATTACAGCCTCCTGTTCCTCTACTACAGCTTCCTTTTCCTCTACTACAGCCTCCTGTTCCTCTACTACAGCCTCCTTTTCCTCTACTACAGCCTCCTGTTCCTCTACTACAGCCTCCTTTTCCTCTACTGCAGCCTCCCGTTCCTCTACTACAGCCTCCTTTTTCTCTACTGCAGCTTCCTTTTCCTCTACTACAGCCTCCTGTTCCTCTACTACAGCCTCCTTTTCCTCTACTGCAGCCTCCTTTTCCTCTACTACAGCCTCCTTTTCCTCTACTGCAGCCTCCTTTTCCTCTATTACAGCCTCCTGTTCCTCTACTACAGCCTCCTGTTCCTCTACTACAGCCTCCTTTTCCTCTATTACAGCCTCCTGTTCCTCTACTACAGCTTCCTTTTCCTCTACTACAGTCTCCTGTTCCTCTACTACAGCCTCCTTTTCCTCTACTACAGCCTCCCGTTCCTCTACTACAGCCTCCTTTTTCTCTACTGCAGCTTCCTGTTCCTCTACTACAGCCTCCTGTTCCTCTACTACAGCCTCCTTTTCCTCTACTGCAGCCTCCTGTTCCTCTACTACAGCCTCCTGTTCCTCTACTACAGCCTCCTTGTCCTTTATTACAGCCTTCTGTTTCTCTATTACAGCCTTTTTCCTCTATTACAGCCTCCTGTTCCTCTACTACACTGCAGCCTCCTGTTCCCCTATTACCGCTTTTCGTTCCCCTATTACCGCTTTTCGTTCCTCTATTACCGCCTTTCGTTCCTCTATTACAGCCTCCTGTTTCTCTACTACAGCCACTTGTTCCCCTTACTAATTAGCAGTTTTTGGCTTGATAAAGCTTAATGTGAGCAGACTAACTGTAGTGAACAGTTTACTTCTCACTTATTGGCTCGATTAAGGCTTAATAAGAGCTTTACATTATACAGCATTATGATGTTCCCTATTCTGGACTGTTACCCATACAGGAAGTGAATAACACTCACCCACTGGTCTCTGTAAGCCCAGCATGATCCTGAAACGGCTCCTGTTACCCTTCAGCCCACAGAGAATATCCTCCATCATCCACAACTGCCTCTGAGCCTGAGAACGCTCCTGAGGGAGAGAGAGAGAAGAGAGAGAGTGTACTGAGAATTCACTGCCCTTGTGATGTAATAGAAACCAACACAAATTAAAAAAATTAAAAATTCAGGACATATTTGGTACATAAAGTCATACAAATGTCACAAGTGGGCCTCAGGAGGAAAAAGGCAAGGTGTAAAAAAGTGTAGCGTATTTTCCCTTTAAGCTAAGAGGAACCAAAGGGGGTTGTTAGCTTGGACTTCAGAAACGTCACTATAGACAAAGCACCCAGACTGCCTTATAGAGACACTGAGAGAAGTGCTCTGCTGCCCCCTGCTGGGCTTAGTGACACAGGCTGCAGTAAAAGCAGTGATGATGTCATGCTGTTCAGGAGCAGTGTTTACCTGTGGAAGTCCAAAATGACAGATGTGCTGAAGATGAGATCGAAACACACACAACTCACTCTCCATCCGCTCATAGTCCACCCACACCCTCTCCATCTCCTGGAAACAGAAAGAGAGAGAGACGTACGGAGAGAGAGAGAACAGAGACAGAACACGAAGGAGAGAAAAGAGAGAGAGAGAGGGAGAGAGAGAGAGAGATTATGATTATAGAGAAGAACAGAAGGGTATGAGAACCTCTCCTGTGTCTCAGATCACTCTACTGTACCAGTGACACGTCACACATTCTGGCTCTGATGGTAATCAGCTCATCCTGCAGCAGAGTCTTCTGGGATACTTCCTGCTCTTCCAGCTGCCACTCGTCCAGCTGTAGACGAGTCATCTCCAGTGCAAACTGAGCACGCTCCTGAACACACAGTCAACAACCAGTGAAGAGCATTCTGGCTCTATTCAGTGACTCAGATCAGTTATCATATCAGTTGTTATTGGGGAATCACAGTTGTGGTTAGTGTATGACAATGTTTGGTTAGGGTATCTTTTGTGCCATCGGAGATATGATAGGGGTCTCATTCTCTGGGTGGGGTATCGTAGTCTCTGGTCAGGAAATCACAGTTTTTGGGTGGGGAATAATAGTTGTGTTGGGGGTATCACAGTCTCTAGGTGGCGAGTCACAACCATAGTTGAGGCACAACAGTCTATGGATGGGAATTATATTTGTGGTTGGCATGTCACAGTCATGGTCTCTCTCTGGTTGGGCAATCACATTTTTTTCGATTGGGGTATCACACTCTCTGGTTGGGGAATCACAGTTATGATTAGGGTATCACAGTCTCTGATTGGGCAATCACAATCATGTTTAGGGTCTCACAGTCTCTGGTTGGACAATCACATTTATGATTAAGGTATCACAGTGTCTAGTTGGGCAAACACAGTCTGTGGTTGGGGAATCACAGTCATGATTGATGTAATTCAGCCTATGGGTGGAGTATCACAGTCATGATTGAGGTATTACTTTCTTGGTGGGGTATCACAGTTTCTGGGTGGGGAATCACAGTCATGTTTGGGGTATTACAGTCCCTGTGTGGGGTATTACAGTGTCTGGGTGGGGTATCACAGTTTGTCGGTGGAAAATCACAGTCATGATTTGTGTATTACAGTTTCTGGATGGGATATCGCAGCCATGAATGGGGTATTACAGTTTCTGGGTGCAGTTGCAGAGTCATTATTGGGGTATTACTGTCTCTAGGTGGGGTATCACAGTCATAATTGGGGTATTTCTGTTTTGTTGGGGTATCACAGTTTCTGGACGGGGTATCACAGTCATGATTGATGTAATTCAGTCTCTGGGTGGGGTATCACAATCATGATTTAGGGTATTACTGTCCTTGTGGGGTATCACAGTTTCTGGGTGGGGAATCACACTCATTATTGGGGTGTCACAGTTTCTGGGTGAGATGTTGCAGTCATGATTGGGGTATCACCGTCTCAAACCAAACCCTAAACCAAACAAGCCCAGTGTACATTTAAACATTGCTTGAGGGTCTGAGTGATGTGATGAAGATGAGGTTACAAGCCTTTTCTGTTTTTCACAACCAATCAGACGTCTAAATTCTAAGTACAGATTTTACTGGATCCAGATGGCATTTAAAACTTGTGAGGTCTAGAACTGTGTCAGCCCACGTGGTGAACTGGGGAGCAACATGGCTATGTACGTCTTCCTGCGTGTGGTACAGTGTGGTACAGTAATGTAATGCCATAGGCCAGCTGGGTACATCTAAAGACTGTCTAACAGGAAAGGAGATGAGGGACATTGCTGTGTGTCTCACCTTTTCTGCTTGTAGGTGAGCTAGTTCTTCTGAAAGAGCCTGCAGCAGCTTATCACACCCACACAAACGAGTGAGCACCATCTGGAGAGGGACAGAGAGTGAGAGAGAGAGAGAAAGAGAGAGAGAGAGAGGGAGATCAGATCCTGAACTGTTATACAGAAATGCACAGTCAGTAACTTTCACTCTAATAAAGCCACCATTATTCCTTCACAAATTCAAGCGCTCCCCCCCAGAAGCTGTGGGTGTATTACTCACATCCGTGTCTCCCTGTAGGGCTGCGAGTGTCTGGCTGTCTCTCTCACTCGGTACATGCTGTATCACAGAGCGACAGAAACAGGCCATTAGGAGAGAGAGGCAGCACTTCATGCCCCACTAACAAGGCTTATGTATGTGATAGAATATACAGTAATGGAATAGATGTAACATGATCCCAATATATTACTTTCTGTATGGATTAAGATGAAAGAGGTCAGGTACATGCTTAGTTTCAACCTGCTTGCAACTGTCTCACTTGCAGCTTTCTGCAACTGATTAATTATTTTTACATTATGTACAGTAACATTAATTACCTACAATCCACCAACTGATGGCTACAAGAATCAATTTTTATTCAACAAAAATCCACCCTTGGGCTAACAAATCCTCCATTGGGCTAATAGAATCCACCCTTAGACCACTGTAATCTACCCCTGGGCTACAATCCACCCTTGAGCCACTGGAATCCAGTCTAGGGCTACAGGAATCCACAACCTAATAAAACCAAGCTAGCGTGAGTTTAGTGTAACTCTATCCTCCGTTGAGGTAAGGTGTCTACATAGCCAAGTAGTAACCTTGATATAATAACTTTAGCTTTTAGCTTGTTGTCCTCATTTGACAGATAATTTCTGTCGTTTGAGTAATTCAGTCTGTCCATTTCAATGATATTTGAAAAAAAACTATATGGCTGCAGTAAGATATTCAGCTTTCTAGGATTAACGTTATCTGTCTGCCTTCCTTCTGTGTTCACCAGCAAAAAAACAGAAGACAGGCAGTGGACAGACAAACAGACGGACAGTGGACAGACTGAAGTGGACAGTGGAAAGTACTATAGCTAGTGGATACATGTGGATGAACAGACAGTGGATGGATAGAGAGACAATAGACAGACAAACAGACGGACAATGGACAGACGGAAATGGACAGTGGACAGTTCCATAGCTAGTGGAAACATGTGGACAAACAGACAGACGATAGACAGACAGACAGACAGAAAAACAGTGGACAGATATACGGATGGACATCGGAAAGACAGACAGTGGACATTACCACAGTTGGTGGATATATGTGGACAAACAGACAGTGAACAGAAAGACAGTGGACAGACAGTCGATAGTAGCATAGCTGGTGGATACATGTGGACAGACAGTGGACAGACATATAGACAGTGGACAGTACCATAGCTGGTGTATAGATGTGGACAAACAGACAGTGGACAGACAGACAGATGGACAGTGGTCAGATGGACAGTGGACAGTACTGTAGCTGGTGGATACATGTGGACAAACAGACAGTGGGACAGACAGACAGATGGACAGTGGTAGCATAGCTGGTAGATACATGTGGACAGACATATAGACAGTGGACAGACAGTTGACAGTACCATAGTTTGTGGATAGATGTGGACGGAAAGTGGACAGACAAACAGACGGTCAGTGGACAGTACCTTAGCTGGTGGATACATGTGGACAGAAAGTGGACAGACAGACAGACAATCAGTGGACAGTCCCATAGGTGGTGGATACATGTGGACAGACAGTGGACAGACAGACAGAAAGACAGACGATCAGTGGACAGAACCATAGCTGGTGGATACATGTAGACAGACAGACAGACGATCTGTGGACAGTCCCGTAGGTGGTGGATACATGTGGACAGACAGCGGACAGACAGACAGGTGATCAGTGGACAGCAACGTAGCTGGTGGATACATGTGGACAGACAGTGGACAGACAGACAGGCGATCAGTGGACAGCACCGTAGCTGGTGGATACATGTGGACAGACAGACAGACGATCAGTGGACAGTACCGTAGCTGGTGGATACATGTGGACAGACAGTGGACGGACGGACAGACGATCAGTGGACAGTACCGTAGCTGGTGGATACATGCACACAGGCACGTGGCTGTGATGGAGCTGAGGATTGTGGTTAACTCTGGAGGGGGGCAGTGGGGGCAGCTGGTCCGAGTGACTTCCCTGCAGAGACACAAACACACACAGCCCAGCACACAAACAGACAGACAGATTCAGACACAGACAGATAGACAGACAGACAGATATAGACAGACAGATACAGATAGACACAGACAGACAGATTCAGACAGACAGATTCAGACACAGACAGACAGACAGATACAGACAGACAGATACATACATACGGACAGATGCACACAGACAACATCATAAGATCACAATACAGCACATTCAGACTGTACTACACCACCTTAAATTACACACTGAGAGTGTGTGTCAGTGTGTGTGTGTGTGTGTGTGAGAGTGTGTGTCACTGTGTGTGTGTGTGTGTGTGTGTGTGTGTGTGTGTACCTTGACTGCGGATCTGCGGAATGCTGGATAACACTCAGAATAGTCCTACAATTCAGACAGACAGACAGACAGAGAGACGAGAGACAGAGAGAGAGAGAGAGAGAGAGGTGTATCATTAACAGTACTGTGAGAGTACAGGGCTGTTGGTGAAGTAGAGCCATGATGGGGGTCTGAGTGGGGAGAGTTTGTGCACCTCCATTAAAAACAATGGGTTTAAAGTTTTGGATGATGTGCAACATCATCGTCCAGATGTTCGGTGTGAACACATTTTCATTCCTTACTGTAATCTGAAATGTGTCATAACACAATTCATCCTGCTGTGTTGCAGCAAGAGGGCGCTACAGTAGCCATTTACTCATGCCTGGACCAGAGAGACTGAACACTCATCTTCCTCAGAGTGATTCAGCAGAAAAAACAGAAATTTATTACAGAATACCAAAAAAATGATTTAATGTAGATATAGAGCTACTGAGATACTCAGGATTTCAGAAAAATGTCCACAGTCAGAGTTAGTGCTGTAGTTACAACCACTAAATATGAGTCTGAGTCAAGACCGAGACCTGGACAAATTGAGTCTGAGTCAAGACCAAGACCTGGACAAATCGAGTCTGAGTCAAGACCAAGACCTGGACAAATCGAGTCTGAGTCAAGACCGAGACCTGGACAAATCTAGTCTGAGCCAAGATCAAGCCTTGGGCAAATCGAGTCTAAGTAAAGAATGAGATCTGGACAAATCGAGTCTGAGTCAAGACCAAGACCTGGACAAATCGAGTCTAAGTAAAGAATGAGATCTGGACAAATCGAGTCTGAGTCAAGACCGAGACCTGGACAAATCGAGTCTAAGTAAAGAATGAGATCTGGACAAATCGAGTCTGAGTCAAGACCAAGACCTGGACAAATCGAGTCTAAGTAAAGAATGAGATCTGGACAAATCGAGTCTGAGTCAAGACCGAGACCTGGACAAATCGAGTCTAAGTAAAGAATGAGATCTGGACAAATCGAGTCTGAGTCAAGACCAAGACCTGGACAAATCGAGTCTGAGTCAAGACCGAGACCTGGACAAATCGAGTCTAAGTAAAGAATGAGATCTGGACAAATCGAGTCTGAGTCAAGACCGAGATCTGGACAAATCGAGTCTGAGTCAAGACTAGGTAAAAAATGAAATTTGGTTGTGGTTCATTGTACATTGATTATGATTCACTGTACATGATCTATATGAATAAATAACACTGCTCACAGTTGGCTCAGAGATTTTTGGGTGAACTATGGCTTTAAAGCGGAGTGAGAGAGGGAGGGTTTAAATGTCTCTCCTTTGCACTGTGAAAATCTCTGCAAATGAAATGATCCTAAATCTAGCTGATATATCAAGTATTCCTCACTGTGAGACTGTTTCTAGATGTTTTTACCAGCTTTTAGTGAACGTTTCTGTTGAAATTGTTTTACTGTATTGGCAGAGAAGTTGACTTATTGCAAAAAATAAAGAAATGAGAAAAAATGATGAAAAACACTGCCAATATTCTCACAACAATCTCACCTGGCTGTGCCACCTGTCTGAGCCCTGTCCATTGCTAGGAGACGGCGGAACAGCTGATTGGCTGTCCTGAGGCCGCATGTCGACCCTGCCCACCGGGGTGTGAGGTCGCGACCCATAATAAGCCCTCGGAGTGGTAGGGCATGAGGCCTGGGTGAGGGGAGGAGGGAGCAAGTGCTCTTCAGCTGTCCGGTCCAGGCTGAACGATCGAGCTCGGGTTTCAGGAGCGCTGGACAAAGAGACAGAGAACCGGCGATAAAGTCACACTGCAGTTTAAATGAATTATTTCACACTATCTGCTGGTTAACTGGCATAATTCATACTAAAATATGAAATATGGTGATATATTGCTTTCAAATATATATGATTCCACTTATATTCAACTTATCTTATATTTGTCACATATGGACTTATATGGCAACTTACTTGCATTTTAAAATATAGGACATATTTTAATATACACAAACATATGTGTAGCACATCTTTAACAATAAATGTCATTTAGCTTAATATTATATAGTATATCGCTGTGGTTGGAACAAAACCTCATATCTCCAAAATGGTAACTTTACAGGAGAAGGAAAAAACATACTTTACTTTTAATGTAAGTCAATGGAACCGGACTTTTCTCCAAGTAATTCTGGGCTGTTTCTTTTGGTCTATTCATCATGAAATTTACACACAATGTAAAGAGCAACAGGCATTTTCAAATTATGTCAAAAACTGAAAAATGACTAAAATGGAGATACGAGGTTTTTTTCCGACAACATAAAGTTTTATACGTCTTGTTTCCTTCATGCTCTTCCTAATCAATTCAAAATTAGTTTGATAGCAACATAACTAAACAGTAAAAACATGTACATTGTAAGCAATACAGTAAAATCATTAAAATATCATGAAATAGATAAAAATATTGTTCCTGACACATTTAAATAATTTAATGTTTAAAAGATATTATAAACAGATAACATAATAACTAATACCTGTACTAGGATATATTTAACCATGTAACAGACATGTATGTATGATCCATATATTATACATATGTTTCCACACCTTTCAGATATGCATGTTTGGTCCCCATGTGTTATGCATATATGTCAAATATATGACTGTTATGCAATGATATATATGCCTGATCCATTATGAAATATGAGCATCTATAGCAATATATCAGATTTCTGTATAAGTTTACTGCTGATAAAAAAAGAGAAAAAAGAATGTTGCTATTCTGCAACATTGGATAAAACTGGACACAATCTATACATAATATTGTATACCCTGAATAAAACACTGCCGGATTAAACAAAATCAATATTAACAAAATCAATGTTTACATAATTTCATAAAAAAAAGTTTAGAAAATACAAAAAAATAAAATAAAATGATCCCTCCAGACTCCACAGCAGCCTCTGCTGCCCACTCTACTTTTAAAATCTGAACAGATTATATGGGCGTCTCACGCTATCAGACTGTTTTTTGCAGATTTTTTGGGCGACTGAAATATTGGTGATCCACACTAATCGATTAGGGATCACACACTACTCAACTTTTCAGCTGTGGCTGAACCGAACGGAGCTCACTGAACTCGCGAGAACTCTCGCATTCTCTCGTTACTCAGAGATGCAGATAAACAAATGTGTGTTGCTGCTGCTGTTTTCTCTGTCGTTTGCGCTGAAACAGTAAAGAAGCAGCAGGTAAACATGTTAAAATGAAGATCATGGATTTAAAAATGTGATCAGTTGGTATTTTTTAGAGTTTTAAACGTACATAAACTCGGTTGTGCCTTAAACTCAGCTCATTAAAAAGCTTCGCTCCACACGTGAGAGACTTTTCACCATTTTTCTTTGTTTACTTGCTGTAATTTCTTCTTTTGTGCTCTCAGTTTTCATTGGCTGTTGCAGGAGTCTGTTCAGACTGAGTCATTGATCAGTTTATACTAGATTTCACTCAGAGTCGGGTTAAAAAAATCAAACATGTTTGATAAACTCTGGCTAGTCTGAAATGCGATCGGGAATGCTCAAAGATCCATTTTCATGCTTAAATGGTTCTTTGCATGGTAAAATGTTTTCTCAGACTGATGGAGAATGAGATGTATATGGTTCTACACAGCACCAACAGGGGTTCTGCTATTGTTATGATGTCAAGCTTGTAACAATAGAAGAACCCTTCTTCTCCATCAATCTGAAGAACAATTTCACCATGCGAAGAACCCTTTAATAAGGCAATTTGAATTTGAAACATTAGTGTTGCGCATTGTTTTTTTGTTGTTTTTGCAGAAAAAAAAACACAAACAAAATTGATGCTTTTGTCATTTTTCCAACATCTATTGTAACTCATCATAAAAATATGTAACTCATAATTTATTAGATTATTGTGTAAACTGAACGTGTAGTGAAACAACAATAAGAGTTATTTTTACAAGTTAACCTTTTCTAGATCACTGTACCGGTACTGGCACAAATCGTCCAGCAGTACGGTGATACAGTACACTGTGAGAAAGCTTAAAAGCTCAGGATTTAAAACCCACAAATCATTTTATCATCCGTTATTCACAGCCGTTACGATCGTCCCATTTGCAACATAAGCACCAAATGAGCAAACGCTAGTAAATCTGCCAGATACGGGTTGTGCTGAGGCTCGATTGTGTCTGTAAAATGGAGGAGGCCAGCAAACCTAGAGAAATAGGCACTGATCAGTTTAGAGATCTATGAGTCAGGAGGAAATAAACTCCTCCATTCTAGACTCTGTTACTCTGTGTCAGTAATTCATACAGTTATTCTGACTAAAGGGGAAAAACATGAGAGTGTAATCTTTCAAATGAAATCAAGATCATGACTGTAGCCCAAAGTATGTGAGAACAGCGCCCCCTTTTACTTTGGGTTTGCCATTACAGGTAAAAACTTGAAAAAGGTGTGACAGTCATGTTCTGTTTATTCTGCAGGGTTTTGTTACTCTTTCTCTAAAACAGGGGTTCTAACCTTGTCTGAACAGCAGTGGACCAGACTGGACCAGAGTGGACAACTGTACCTTCAGTCCAGAGTTATTACTGTCATTTAGTTTTACACTCGATTTACATTTACTTTGTCCTCTATTTTACCTCTGTCTCACTCTGTGTCTCCCTCGCTGGTCTGGAACATCCCCTGGTGGCCCCTCCGATTGACACATCTCTGTCTGACCCCTGCAGGCCTGTGTGGAGCCCAGGGTGGCCCCGTCCACCGACTCACTGCTGCCCCCTAGCTGAGTGAAGTCCTGGTAGCTGGTACATCTCCTAGCAACAGGTCACCAACATCAGACACATTATACACATTATACATATTACACCAGCAATATTAATACATCATTTATATCAAACACAGGGCATATCAAAAATAATATACTAAATTCCTGATAGAAGGCTTCTTATTCTTTAGCATGCAGTATGTCCTGTATACAGTTGTATGGAAGCTATTTCTGCCAAGTAAAGGAGGAAAAAAATGTTTTTATCTGTTAGTCAAAACAATGACTTACTTTCTCAAACCCATTACTTTGACAGTGTATCTCAAAATCTCACAAAAATAAGTCAGTGTTTTGAGATATTAGGTCAAAATTAAGAGAAAAAAGTAAATATTTTAAGATAGTAAGTCAATTTTTCAAAATCAATTAGCATTTTGACACACTGCTGCCAGAACAAGATTTTCTTTTTTTTGACCCATCTATTGTAGTAGCCGCAGCAGAATATGAGACTGTCATATGAGCCCACAATGCGCCTGTATTTAACGTTCAATTTACTAGGACTGCAGCCACAAACTGCATGCAGTTCCATCACTAACTGCTAAGTCGTGAGTTGGAGTTTAAAAGGAGCAGAGAAATAAAGGAGCTGTAGAGATTTTTATTAATATATATATTGTATAAATTCATATATAATTGCAGCATGTGCAAAAGTTTTGCCACCCTTCCAACTGTAAAATTTCAGAACTTAATTAACAGGTTAAGAGTTATCATCAGGAATTGTCAGCTGATCACAATTCCAGAACGTATTATATTCTCTGACTCTTTAAACATTGTGCTAACACTGGTGGGCTCCTCTGGTGGGCTCCTCTTAGCAGCTGGATAAAGAGCCAAAAAAGCTAATCGATGCCAACTGAGCAGAGTAAGGCTTTAAAAAATTTTCCACGGTCTGAAATATCATTAATAAATGGCAGTTAAAGGGTACTGTGGAAGTCAAGGAAACTCTCAAATAGAACTGCTCATATGCTGACCAGAAAAGGCAAAGCAAAACCCCCACATGACAGTGTAAGGTCTGTAAGAAGGTTTATCTGACACATGAGTAGTGATGCACTGTTCTATTGTGCAGCACTGTAGCACAAACATGATCTGTGACCTCATCAAAAATGTGCTTGAAGTATACAAAACAACATTCTGATAAGCCAGAAAATTCGGAAACAAGTTGTAAGAAAGGGAACTCTTTGGCCACAATCACCAAAAGTATGTTTGAAGAACAAAAGGAGCAGCATTTGATGAAAGGAACACAGTGCCAACTGTAAACCATGGGAGTTGATCTATTATGCTTTGGATTTGTGTGGCAGCCAGTGGCTTAGGAAACACTGCATCAGTAGATGGAAGGTGGATTCCACTAATTATCCCTAAAGTCTGGAAGCAGATTTGACTCAATCAGTCAAGAAACTGAATGTGAAAGGATTCCGGCTCTGCAACAGGACAATGACCCAAAACAGGCCTCAAAATCCACCATGAACTACTTCAAGAAATGCAAGCTGAAGCTTTTGAAATGGCCCTCACAGTCCCCCAACCCGAACATCACTGACAATCTGTGAGTAGGTTTTAAACATGCTGAACAAACAAGACGGCCCAAGAATATCAAGAGTAAATTAAACAAGATTAGAAAGCTGGCTTTAAAAAGCATTTGCAAGCTGTGATATCTGCCAAAGGGGCTGTTTACTAAGTACAGATTTAGTAACTTAGAGTGTCCAAACTGTTTGCACATGCAGCAGTTACCAATTTATTATTTTCTATTTTTAAGCTAGTCAAATATAAAGTAATTGTGTATTAACATTTTCAGAAAAATGTTATTTTCAAAGTTACACTCAAAGTAATTAGTCAAATTTATAAAGATCTAAAGGCTTATTCTTAAATGAGTGAAATGTAACCCACCAGAAATAAAAATAAATTACAAATAATAAATACATAAATAAATAATGGATTGAAAGCTGTGATTGGTGCACCTGTTGATGATGCCGTCTGTCTCCATGCATGCTGACTGGCTGAGAGCTCTGACCCAGCCCAGCATGTCCTCCTGCGTATCAGCACTCAGCAGATAGGAACGCATTCCCTGATGAACCACCTACACACACAAACATTCATATATACATACGTACATACATACATACATACATAAGTACGTTCATTTAGTACTCATATTACAACTTACTGTTTAAACTAAATGGCCCGTGTTTATCAAACATCCCAGAGTAAAACACTGATCCAAGATGAAGAATCATTAGTCCATGTAATCCTGTTCAGTTCTATGTAAAAGGCATGAACTGATACTGAATCAGCATTATTACCTGGAGGAGTTTGATAAATATGGGCCAGTTTCTCTAATTTAATTCTACTACTCTTCAGTTCATGTATAAATTCATTATTGAGCTACAAACTCAATCATATCTTCACTCAAACCTCATATCAGTCACATACTAATAGGACTTATATCTCTCCTGCAGGACGAAAGTAGTCTCACTCATAGGAAAGTGTATAAGGAATATTTAATATAAATTCACCTCAGAAGAGATTTCTATCTCTTAGTTTCATTCTGCATTCAACAGGTGAGTACATTTCTCCATAAACCCCATTTACACAACCATATTATGTTGCTGATAACATTAGTTTTACTTTTCCAGTTCACACCCTCTCCTTGGGTGAGGAGACTCTAAACTCAAAAGCTGTACAATTCTGCACATTTCTTATTATAATCATGAGCAGAAAAGGCAGTATTACACACGTCTGCATGTGCATGGTTAGAAATTGATTTTAAGGTAGTGTGATGTGAATTTGAATGGATCTACAGGCTAGGGGTTTCCAGTAAAGTGGCCAGTGAGTGGAAGTACATGGTAGATGTTTCTAAAGTGGCCAGTCAGTGAAAAGCACAAGGTGGGTGTTTCTAATAAAGTGGCCGGTTGGTGGAAGAACAAAGTGGGTGTTTCTAATAAAGTGGCCGGTTGGTGGAAGTACAAGGTGAGTGTTTCTAATAAAGTGGCCAGTCAGTGAAAAGCACAAGGTAGGTGTTTCTAATAAAGTGGCCAGTTGGTGGAAGAACAAAGTGGGTGTTTCTAATAAAGTGGCCGGTTGGTGGAAGTACAAGGTGGGTGTTTCTAATAAAGTGGCCAGTCAGTGAAAAGGACAAGGTAGGTGTTTCTAATAAAGTGGCCGGTTGGTGGAAGTACAAGGTAGGTGTTTCTAATAAAGTGGCCGGTTGGTGGATGTACAAGGTAGGTGTTTCTAATAAAGTGCTACCTTAAAAGCGTATTTCCGGTTCCTGCACTCTCTGGGAGAGCAGAAGAGGATCTTATAGCTGGGGAGAGGAATGCTGCCCAATACACACTCCTCTCTACTGTCTGAGAGAGAGAGAGAGAGAGAGAGAGAGAGAGACTGTTTCAGTGAGTGAAGTAGCTCAGTGCTGTCTTTTACAGGGAGCTGTGCTGACTACCTTGTACACTCTTTCACCACTGCACTGTCTGTACAACCAGCATGAGGAAAACAACTGAGCTCCGTCCCCAAACTTCACAAAGCATTACTTTATTAAAAATTCACCAACAGGAACAGCATGAGCCCATAAACATACACACTGTCCACTGATTTACCTTTATAGTAGAAGAGACAGTAATCAGAGAGAACAAACCACCTCCTCTTCCACAGCTTTAGGCCTGCACTGTCCTACACAGAGAAACACAGACACACCGAAACACAGAGAAACACAGAAACACAGAGAAGTGTCATTGAAGGAGGCCTGAGATTACTTTAATACTCAAAATGACCTATGCTTCAGTCTTTATTAACTCATCCTGTTTTTTCCTGTACACACACATATATCACTGTTGTTGGAAGAAAACCTTGTGTCTCCAAAATGGTAACTTTACAGCAGAAGGAAAAAACACACTTTACTTTTAATGTAAGTCAATGGAACCAGACTTTTTTCAAGTCATTTTGGGTCGTTTCTTTTGGTCCATTCATCATGAAATTTACAGAAAATGTAAAGGGTAACAGGCATTTTCAAATTATGTCAAAAACTGAAAAACATTACAAATGGGGATACGAGGTTTTCTTTCGACAACGATATGTATATATACATATATATATATATATATATATATATGCTATTACTATTGATTATTATTAATGAACAATTATGAGTGTAACTCTAATGTGTTTATGGTAATCTGTTGGATGCTGATCCTAAACGGTTGAACAGCAGTGTGGATCCTGAACTCACTCGTTTAAACAGCCAGCCTCTGATCACCACGGGGCAGTTTGGATCTCTCTTCACCGCTCGGCATCTTTTACCAAACGTCTGAACCTTCTCATCACCCTACACACACACACACACACACACACACAAACACACACACACACACACACACACACACACACACACTACATCATTAATACAGTTCTATACAGTTCTAGAGAGAGGACTTTCAGGACTGTGTGTGTAGAAGTGGAGTGTAATATGAATCTGACTGTGTATAATAGCCTGATGTCTGCATCAGCCAAACCAAATGTTCAACATGAAGAAAAAATATTACAACGCAGAAAAGAAATAACATGAAGAAAACATAAGAAACATTAGAGCTGATTTACAGAAACCTCTAAATCACAGGGAATTCTGGGTATGGGTATTTACATTATTTTAGACTGAAATTCTTCTGTTTATTTAAGAAATGTAATAATTAAGACCTAACAATTATATCAGTCCATGAAGTTTTCTCTATTTTTTGTCTCCTTAAAACTGGTAAAGTCACAAGATCTTTCTATTAGTCTGTCCTTAAAATGTCTGGATGTATGTATGTATGTTTTTTGTACATGTTTGTATGTACAGTATACATGTATATATGGAAGTGGGTGCTAGCAGAACATTAAGATCTACCATGAAAGACACAGGTAGCCAGTGAAGCTTTCAAAACAGGAGTGATATGATCTTTTTTTTGTTGTGTTGTTTTTGTTATGATGCTCCTGCGTTTTGTACGAGTTGTAAAAGATGTTTTGTTTTCTTAGGAAGTCCAGTAAGAAGATCATTACAGTGATCAACTCTGCTGTAACAAATGCATGAACGAGTTTCTCTGCTTCGCTCTGAGAGAGAAAAGGCTGAACTTTAGTGATTTTCTCACATGATAAAAGCTGCTTTAGTGACTGTTTACATGCAGATCAAACAGAGCTCAGAGTCTAAGATCACACCCAGGTTTCTACTGCAGGTTTGGATTATGAAGCTAAAGAGCCGAGATTCTCATAAAGCAGCTTCTTCTCAGTTTTAGCACCAACAATCAGCATTTCAGTTTTTTATTATTTAGTTGAAGGACATTTGGTGAGAAATTGACACACAGCTGGTCAGTCTGTCTACAGAGTCTTGATCATCAGAAGAAAAGGAAATGTATAATTGTGTGTCGTCAGCATAGCTATGAAAATTGATACTGTGTTTCCGAATGACATCACAGAGAGGTAACATGTACAAAGAGAAAAGCAAAGGCCCTAAAACTGAACCCTGTGGGACTCCACAAGAAATGTTAATTTATTAATTAATGATTTCCCAGTGAAATCATCAAATATATGTACAGTATGAATGTTTGTATGTACAGTATGTATGTATATATGTATGTACAGTATGTTGGTTTGTAGAGTATGTATATTTGTATGTACAGTATGCTGTGTAAAGTATGTTTGCATATATATGTAGAGTATGTTGGTATGCTTATAACAGTATGCTTATATGCACAGTATACATGTTTGTATGTACAGTGTGTATGTTTTTATGTACACTATATATGTATGTATACAGAAGTGAGTGAAATAGAGGGAAAAACGCACCCTGTGTCTGGATGCTAGTGAGGATATTGTGGTAATGCTGGATGCCTGACTCACCCTGTCCTGATCATCCATCCTACAGAGAGAGAAAGAGAGAGAGAGAGGGAGAGAGAGAGAGAGAGAGAGAGAGAGAGGGAGAGAGAAACAGACAGAGAGAGAGAGAGAGAGAGAGAGAGAGAGATGGGGTATTGGAAACAGATCAATTATGTCATGACTGGGCATAAACAGATAAAACATGTTTAGATGTAAGCTCAATTGTTCAAACCCTACATTAAGAGCAATATTTTCTAAGATCATAGTGTAAATTAGATTTTTAATGATTAATCATGATTTGCATTGCAATATAGACTCGATATATTACTCCTAATTCACAGCCAAGAAACCGACCCTAAACTGCAGTCTGAATTAGCTGCTTTGCTCTCGTCTCTAGAACAACATCAAAATAAAATACTGTAAAATTCACCAAAGAGTGACAAGAGACTGTGGGTCTGAAAGGATGTGTAGTTGTCAAGAAGCCTCACTGAGAAAAGGAGACAGACACATCAAACAAAGAAGCTGAACAGTGGACTGACCACCCCAGAGTCCAGACTTCAACACTACTGAATGTGTTTGACTACTTCAGAAATCCTGAATAAATGCTAACATTATAATCCTGAATAAAATTGTAAAAAATAATCCTGCATAAACTCTTAAATTATAATCCCAAATAAATTAGATAATTATAATCCAGAATAAACTCTTGAATTATAATCCCAAATAAATTATAAAATTATACTCCTAAATAAACTCAAAATATAATCCTGAATAAATGATAAATTATAATCTAGAATACATGATACAATTATAATCCTCATTAAACTGTTAAATTATAATTCTGAATAAACTCTAAATTATAATCCTTAAAAATTATTACATTATAATCCTGAATGAACTCTTAAATTATAATCCAGAATAAACTCTAAAATTATAATCCTGAATAAACTCCTACATTATAATCCTGCGTAAACTCTTAAATTATAGTTCTGAATAAATGATAAAATTATAATCCTGAATAAACTCTTAAATTATAATCCAAGATAAACATACTGAGATCCTGTCATTTAGACAGGGTCTTTTAAGGGACGTCCCTGCTCGTGTTACAGCAGCATGGCTTCATAGTAAGACAGTGCAGGTGCGGTAATGCAGTGGTAAACATGCACCTGTCCTGAATTTTTTGAATTTGGAACATGTTGCAGGCATCGGAGTTAGATCAGATAGCGTACATATACAAACAGAAACACAATTAAAAAGTTATGTTAATAAATTGTACTGTTTTCAGTTGAATACAGGCCAAAGCAGATAATTGCTGTCTGTTTTTCTGTCCCTTTTTCTACTGTCACAATTTTTTGGAATCAGGTTTGTTTATAATTAATGTAGATCTAGAAACAAGAGCGAAGGAGCGACTGCACTACAGTAAAAGCTGAAGTGTAATTTAAATCCATACAGTGAAGAGTTTCATGCACAGCGTGTTGGAGTAAAGAGTGTGAGTGTAGAGTCGTGTCCATGCTGAGAGCGGAGTCTAGGTGAATGTAGCGTCTGTAACACTGCTCTGTTAGTAATCTGCGCTGTCTGCGCTTCACTCTGACAGGACATGCATGTGCTAACCTGCTGTATGAAGCTCCTCTCAGCGCTCGGCTTTAAACGCTTCCTCTCACAACGCTCAGGGTTTTAGGAGTTACTGTACGTTACTGTATTCCACACTACAGCAGCAGCACGAGGGGAGTGAGGTCACTCAGCCCAAACACGCTCTCTCACTCTCTCACTCTCTGATCTATTCTGAGTCCTCAGCTCAGACTGACAGGTGACAGGTGGGTTACCATGGGAATGTGGGTGGGGTCAGTGGGTCCAAAGAGACAAGGAATGGCAGGCATGTTTGGGAGCGTCAGCAATGAGCTATCTACACACACCAACACTTGTTTTTATACATTACCAAGATATGGGCGTCAGAAACATATGTCCTATGTGGATTATATATGTGTATACACATTTATGTTCCATGTGTATTATATATGTATTTAAGTACTACCTATACATAAGAATAATGTACCATATGCATTCCATGTTACATGCTGCTTTTCTAAAAACAAGTTAACACATTGTCTGCACTGAACAAACTACTGCAATAGTACATATATATGTATATATATATATATATATATATATATGTGTGTGTGTGTGTGTGTGTGTGTGTGTGTGGGTGTCTGTCTGTGGGTATGTGTTATTTATCAATGAGCAAAAATATCAAATCAGAGTGTACTACAGTACAAGTGTTATTTAAATGTAACATATGATAATATATACACTCATTTAAAGTATGATTCCTGTAACATGTTTCACAAAAATTTGGGACAGGAGCATATTTACACTGTGTTACATCACCTTTGCTTTAACAGCACTTAATGCATTTTTGGGGACTGATGACACAAAACTGATCCGGTTTAGAAAGAGGAATTTTTTGCCATTCTTCTGTTATACACGTCTTCAACTGCGCAACTGCACAGTGCTTTTATTATCATACCTGGCTTTTCATAATGCACCAAAATTTCAATAGGAGACAGGCAGGTCAGCACCCGCAGTCTCTGTTCACACAGCCATGCTGTTGTAGCACGTGAGGAATGTATATGTTTCACATTGAAATGAGCATGGACATCCTTCTTTTAGTGGTGCTGTCACAGATGTGCAGGTTACCCAGTAACCCCCACCAACACCATGACAGGCGCTGGATTTAGAACTTTATGCTGGTAACAATCTGGAGAGTCCTTTTCTTCTTTTGTCTGGCCATTATTTCCATACACGTCATTTCAGATGAACAGTATCATTTCAGATGAACTCAAGCCCAGAGAAGTCGGCGGAGTTTCTAGTCGTTGTTGATATGTGACTTCCACTGTACATAGAACAGTCTTAATCTGCATTTGTGGATGCAGTAATGATATTTATTGATAATGATTATTGATTATTGATAATGGTTTGTTCAAAGTACTCCCAAGCCCAAAGTATTTGTCAAAGTACTCCTGGTGCTCTCTATCACAGAAGCATGCTGGTTTTTAATGCAGTGCAGTCAAAGGTTATGTGAAGTTAATTGTGGTTTTTGGTCTTTTCTCTGGATTCTCTGAGTCTGTTGATGATATTATGTGCTGCAGAGGATGAAATACCCAAAATCCTTGCAGTCCCTTGCAGAGGAACATTGTTCTGTTGGATATTTTGCTGCATTTTTGGTAAAGTGGCCTTGACCCATCCTCACTCTTAAAGCGCTCAGCCTTTGCTGGACAGCCTTTTACATCCAAGCATGAGTGCATTACCTGTCTAAGACGTTTTTAACATTTCACAGTGTTTTGAGCCTTAAACTGGTCCTGTTCCATTTTTTTAGGAACATGTTTCAGGCATCAATTCTCAAATTTCTGTTTTCTAATTGAGTATTATGTATATATGCACACACTGTAAAACTGCTAAATACATGGTCAAATATATGTTAATGTCTGTTACAAGCTTCAGATAAAACATAAGAAACAAAAGAATGTCCATGTTTTTGTCTATAATGGCCAAAAAATGTTTACCAGCGTTAGCAAGGTGCTAAGACCCGATTAGAAACCATTAGTTACCATTATTGTAAAGGTGGAGTTTGATATTTATGGCCTGAACTGAAGGCCTCGCTCTACTAGTCACAGTTCAACATCGGTAATAACACTATGTTCCGTATGTGTAGAGTGAGAGGGAAATTATTCAGACACTTCTGTTTTTGTTATTTAATATACTTCCAATGTCTATAGTACGATATTTCGACACTGTTAGAGCACATGGGCTCCTATTCATAATCATATCTGTGATGTCATCACAGAAACACAGCTACTGTCACTGTACCCTTACATTGTCATCAGAGACAGACAGAGAGAGAGAGAGAGAGAGTGAGAGACAGACAGAGACAGAGAGAGGGAGAGACAGAGAACAATACTGCATTGATAGTGTGAGTGTTGGTATGCTGTGGGAGAGAGAGAGAGTGGGTGGGTGGGTGGTGTAAATGTCTGTAAATGTCTCTAAACTCTCTCTCTCTCCTGTATGACATCACTTCAGAGCTGCAGCTCACTGTCCTTTTGAACTCAGCTCTCATAACTTCATTAATATGGCCATGTTTATCATATTTCTACAGTCGCTGCTGAGGCTCAGTGCCCCACACTGCACCCAGATAGAGTAACAGATACGAGGACGCTCGCTCTTCGCTGAGTTTTGCTGTTAGCGATGTTACAGTTAAGTATTTTCATGGTATTATAATGTACATTCTTGAAAAAGATGGTTCTTTGAGGGTTCTTTAGTAAGGACAGTGGTTCTATATAGAACCGTCAACACTCCAACAACGCTTTGCATGATTAAATTGTTCTTTGCATGGTGAAATGGTTCTTCACATTGATGTAGAATGTGTTGTAAAGGGTTCTATATAGCACCAAAAAGGTTCTGCTATTGTATACAAGCTTGACATCGTAACAACAGCAGAATCATTTTTGATTCTATATAGAACCATTTACAACACATTCTCCATCAATCTGAAGATCCGTTTCACCATGCAGAGAACCATTTAATCATGCAAAGTGTTCTTTGAAATCTCATGGCTCTACAAAGATGCATTGTCTATATTAAAGAACCCTTGAAGGTCATATTTTTAAGAATGTAGTCAAAAAAGATCAGTTCCATGATGGTAAGTATGTGGTGAAAACTACCTATGGGAAAATAATTAGGAAATATGAACATCACCTCTCACGCATGCATTTCATTCATCATATTGCATTAGCTTTACCCTCACATATCAATTTGAAACACTTTCTTTATATATGAACAGAATTTTTTCTTTTTTTTAAAGGTGTGAGGTGAAGTCCAAAATCCCTGTATAAAAAAAAAAAAAAATAAAATAAAAATAAAAAAAATAAAAAGATTTCATCTCTTCTTCACCATTTAAACCTCTATTACATGAATTAGGAGAGCAGTTATTTAAAAATGTTTGATTCAGTTTTCTTGTATTAAGTGGGCCTGATGAGTAAAATTAAAAATATAATTTTTTTAGTAATACATGCATGGCTCCTGTTGGTGTACATTGCCTTTAGGGAACACTGTGCAACAACAGAAAGGAATAACACAATGCATTATGCAGGAAACCAAGTGTTTGGAACGAAACTGAGTAACAAGTCAGTTTGTTGATCTTTAAACATTATAAATACTAAAAAAAAAAACACAGAATAATTCAATTTCATGCCATTTTCAAAGAAACCATAGTTGCACAATATAACCTGTTGTTTTGATTGTTTCAATGAGTGACCATTAGAAGGCCCCTCACTATTAACTCTTTCATCATTACTAAAAATGGGGTTTGTTGCCCTGAGGCAACGTTGTGCATTAGAGGTGTAAATTATTGTAAACAGTAGTCTAATTCAGTGGTTCCCAGCTTAGTGCACATTTTTGCTCCAACTCAATTTGCAACACATAGGGAGGAAGGAAAAATGTGGATCATCTGGGGGCCCTGAGGACCGGTTTGGGAACCACTGGTTTAATTTATTTGTTTATTTTTTTAAATTTAGCTAACTTGATATATTTCAGACTGACCGATTTTCCCTAAAATCTCTGAGCTTTATGATATCATCGTGTCATCATCAGAGTGTCTGAGTGAAAGAACACATAGTAGAAAAACTACTACACATAAATTTAATCTCACTGGTCAGTTAAGTAGGTTTTGAAACTTAATATAGGCAAGACCGCCTACTTTAACAGAAAAGGACAATCTGACTGACAAGCAAACCAGCCTTACCTTCAGCTGTTCCAAGCATAAATGTCTTCCAATCAATCGGTTCTTCCCATAATGTGTCCAAAATCAGAGCTTCAGTTTTGTGATCTGGGCTTCAAGTGAGAATTGAAGCTTGATTTGCAAAATAGAGCCTTATTTGTTTTCCTTGCTGACCAAGGTTCTCTCAAAATTCTTCATCAACAAAGTTCAAAGGCATCATTTTTTTCCTGTCTTGCTTTTTTCTTGTCTGGCTTTGACATCCACGGGAGACCACAGAGGAGACCACAGCCTGGACAATCATGAGCTTTGTTTGTAGAGACACATCATTACTTTTGAAGCTTCATCCTTGTTCTGCTGAGCACCAATCTGCTTCTTGACTGTTTGATCCTTTGTTGTTAAGAACTGATCTGAGTAGATAAAAGAAAAAATCCACCACTTCCACATCTTCTCCATCAATAGTGAAGTTAGCAGTCTTTCCTGTTCTCGTAACTGAGGTGTGAAATGCAACGTGGTCCCAAATTACCTCTTGGACGCTGATTTTCTCAAAATCAAAATTCTGGGGGGGTCTCTGAAAATAAACTTATTATGACAGTGTTCTGTCTGTTAGGGGGAAACAGACATTCAAATACAGATCTGCTTCACCCACAATCAGCTTCTGTCTCTGGTGTTCTTAACTAACTAGAGCTGCAGCACTGCTCTGCCTCAGGGTGGCGCTGTAGCAGACTGGCTCACCCAGTTGATCCTTCATAGTCTAGAAACTGTAACTCTGCCCGGATTCCTCTGAAACACTTTACAATGAGCTGCAGCAGATCTGTAAATCTGGTTAGTGAGTTACTAGCCAGACAACATGGGACCCCAGGATACCGGGGGGGATTTCACACACTGGTCATAACCTTTATATTGAGACAAAGTCCCATCTTTACACTCTCATAAGGGCCTTCAGCTCTTCTTGATTTTCTGCTATGAGTGTTGTATCACCCACACGTAGAAGGTCATGTTTCTTCCACCGATCTCGAACCCTCAGTCATTTCCTTCCAGTTCTTCTTTCATTCTATGTTCTGCATACAGGGTGAACAGGTGTGGTGACAGTGGACAGCCTTGTCTTGCTCCTTCACCAATGTGGAACCAGCCTGTTTGTCTATTTTCTGTCATGTCTGTGGTTCGACCTCTTTGAAGAACCAGTTGTGTAAATAAGATGTTCAACTGTGCAGAACCTTTTTAAAGAACCATTAGTTCTGTAGGTTTAAACCATTAGTTGATGTAATGTAAAAGTTCTACATCAACTAATGGTTTCAATCTAGAACCGTACATCCAAGCTAAGAACCCATAAATAACCATCACTGGATTAATCTATCAGTTTGGAATAATGAACAAACAGCAGCAAATAAATAATATAGAGTAGTTTTACCCCGTCTGACGCCGTCGGCCAAAAGCACTGTCCAGCTCCATCCTTTCAGAAAATCGCTCTCAATCTCTCGCTCTTCCCGTCTTCTACCCTTCTCTGTCTGTCTATCTATCTATCTATCTATCTATCTATCTATCTACCTACTTACCTGTCCCGTCTTTCTTGATCACTGTCCACTTTCTGCCCTTCTCTCTCTCAATTTAACTTTCTTTTTCCTCTCTCTCCCTTTATCTATCTATATCTATCTATTTCCTCCTGTCTTCTCTTTCTCGATCACTCTCTGCTTTCTGCCCTTCTCTCTCTCAGTGTAACTATCTCTCTCCGTCTCTTTCTTCTCTCTCTCTGCACCTACACTCTCTGTAGAGACTGAATCTCTTTCTTCCCTAAAACACTGGCCTCTCTGTGCTCCTCTCTTCTTTCCCTCCCTGCTCTCTCTCTCTCTCTCTCTCTCTCTCTCTCTCTCTCCCTCTCTCCCTCTCTCTCTCTCACGCATGCATACATCTCTTTTGGTCTCTTTGTTTTTCTGTTAATAAGGCCGAGGCTACAGTGAGAACAGCAACGTGAACTTTAATTTCATACAAATTATACACCAGTCCAGCACAACGGCAGCTTTTACGGACTGGACTTTTATTTTGGACACCGTGTGTTTCAGTGGTGGAGTATTGATGTTCGCTCTACTCGGCCACTTTATCAGAAACCCCTTTGTTTTGTAGCTCCACCTTGTGAAAAAGAAGGAGACTTAAGAACATCAATATCAGAGAATACTGATACTGAAGAGAATACTAAAACAATATTAGATTTCATTGAAATTGTATGGAAATACACCTAAAATATATTTCTCTGCCGTTTGTGAAGAGCATGTTTTAAAGTAACACATTTTTAATTATACATTATTTTGCTGTCAGGAAATACAAATGCATTTCTTAACATATTGAAGCATGCTTAAACAAAAGTATGTCCATAAAATTACATGTATTTTTTTTAGTCACAAAGCATATTATTGTTATTTTATATATGTAGTATATTATTTTTAAAGCAGTTCATTTGAACTAATGCTATATTTCATTTTAGTTGCAATATTATTCACTAACTATCGGTCTAATCTGGGTATCAGTTTACCGAAGTGTTTATATTTAAAACATATTCAAGTGTAGTTTGTTTGTGTCTTTACAATTACATAAGTTAACATTACGACTTTGTATCAGTTCTATTGGAATGCTATTGTAATTCTATAGCAACTCTGTGGCAGCTCTATAGGGACTCTGGCAGCTCTCTAGGGACACGATGGCAGCTCTATAGGAACTCTATGTCAGCTCTATAGGGACATTATGGCAGCTCTATAGGAACTCTATGGCAGCTCTATAGGGACACTATGGCAGCTCTATAGGAACTCTGTGGCAACTCTATAGGGACATTATGGCAGCTCTATAGGAACTCTATGGCAGCTCTATGGGAACTCTATGGCATCTCTATAGGAACTCTATGGCAGCTTTATAAGGATGCGATGGCAGCTCTTTAGGAACTATATTGCAGCTCTGTAGGAACTCATAACTATGATAACTATGATAACAAATTAAAGTATCCCAGGATTGTACGGATTAACAGATTGACCTTTACAGTCCAGGCAAGTCTGCTGCTTCTGTAATATGAAAAAACTCATTCTGTGGGTTCTCCAGTGTGGGTCAGGGTGTGGAGCTCTATCTCTCTGTCCTTCAGAAATCTAGCACCCTTAATCACTGTACAGCTGTTCACTGAGGCCATACTGCAGATCTTCCCAGCTCGAACAGCTGCAGAGTTCTTACACATGTTAGTGGGAGTGTCCTGCTATTGGTGGTCTAATGTTACAGCTGAGATTTCTGAGGACACTCAGATTGACCTCCTGTCCATGCTGGACATCATCTGGACCGCTATATCTGTCATGCAGTTTTTAGTGAAACTGAAAGAGGATAAAAACTCATTATGTAGTGGTTAACGTGATGCACTGTAAGGATAACAAGTTTATTGACTTTATTTATACCACCTTATTGGGTTTAATAACATTATTGCATGCATGGTTATTAACTTCAGTAATGCAAAATAAATGGGTGTATTACTTTATTAATGATTGCATCAATGTGATGCTTTATTAACAGTATTTTTCTTTTGATAATTATTAATTAATTATGTTGTGATTTATTAGTTCTAGGTAACTAGGTAAAAAAAAATGTGTAGCGCTCTGAGCATGTTGGCCAGGCTTTTTCAGAAATAGTCACTGAATGTGGTGTTTTTAAGGGCCTACATGGCTAATATTAGCACTTAGCACTACTGATGTTGTGTTAAGGGCTACCATAGAATGGAATGGAAAATCCAATAAAGTTTTAATGTCGATATCTTTGCTATTTGTTATTAAAAAGTACATTAATAAAAATGTTACATATAAATGATTACCTGTCATTATTACAGTAAAGAATGAACCTTTTTCTTTTTTCCTACTGTTTTATCCCTCTGTGTTTTGAAGTCATTCTCTCTCGATGTGTTCATCTCTTCTTAAACTCTCCTTTAAAGGCTCCTCATATATCATGATCCTCATATGTTTCATATCTAAATGCTCCGTTATCTTCAGCACTACTTTCCAAAACCGCTGCAGCAGCTTCAGCAGCTGTAAACTCTCTGCACGCCGTTTCACATGAGTCTCCGATGTGGACTGAATGAAGAATGAAGGGTTTCCGGCGTGATGGTCAGTCCTTAGTGATTTCCTGCATGTCCATCGGTCAGTTTCACACAGAATGTAGACGGACACGCGAATCCACCAGTTCCACACGGTGAGAGGCAGATGACGTGTATCTCAGCCCCTCTTCATAGGCTCATAACTCCGGATGTGAGTCGGAAAGATGGAATGGAAAGGGCGACTCTACAGATTCAGGAACTGTTTGAACTGGATTTCTGAGCTGGATCATCACAAAGATACACAAACAGATACAGAAACAGAGAATTTGACACAAGGGCAAGTTTGAGGACCCCAGAGGGTTAAACCAATAAAAAGAGCTCTTCCACACAGAATTCTTCCAAGTTTGAAAACTACTCAGAGCACAGTTTTATTACACACTTCTATAATCTAAGAATAGCTCAGCCAGTTTACACTGAAGTCCGAACAGTTACTGAATAATGAGCTTTAGTATGTAATACGCCTGGGATTTTAAGGGGTCAAAGCAGCAATTAAGCAACTTTTTTCCTGTTTACTCTCAAAAGTCTTCACCAACACCAAAGTTCACAGGCATCAATATTATACCTGTCCTGATTTTCACTGTCAGCTACACAGCTTTCACACTCATAAATAACCACAGAGGAGACTGCAGCCTGGACAATTCTCATCTCTGTAGAATGGGGTTCTCTGCGTATTCATGTTTCTATACAGAACCTCTGTCCTTACTAAAGAACCCTTGAAGGAGCACCTTTTGTAAGAGTGTAGGGCAGAAGGAAGAACGTGGATTGTCTGTGGGCCCTGAAGACCAGTTTGGTCTAATCTATTTCATGTTTTTTTAATTTAGCAAACTTGATAATAATAGCTAAATTACCCCCTGTATACCCTGTTTCTCATTCATCTACCTCAGACTAATTTAAAGACTTTCACACCTGTGTAAATGTGTTGTGACAATAAACGCGACTTGATTTGATTTGAATATGTATTTGAGAATATTTTTTTGCCTTTTCTGTAAAATCTCTGGGCTTAAATGATATCCTGTAGTCATAATCAGCTAAAACAGAGTGCCTGAGAGAAAAAACACACAGAGTAGGCAAAGTAGTTGAGGAAGACTAGGCACAAATATAACTTCACTGCTCAGTTAAGTAGGTTTTGAAACTTAATGTAGACGGGACTGCCTACTTTCCCAGAGAAGGACAATCCAGCTGATAATCCAAACAGCCTCACCTTCAGCTGTTCCAAGCATAAACGTCCCTTCCAGTGGATCAGTTCTTTTCATAATGCGTCCATAATCAGAGCTTCAGCTTGGTCACCTGAGCTTTGAGTGAGAAGTGAGGCCTGATTTGGTCGAAGATCCTTTTAGTTTGTTCAAAGATATCAGTTTTCTTTCTGTTCTGCTACACAGAGAAGACCAGGACAGTCCTGATCTTAGTAGAGACTCATCATTACATTTAAAGACCTTTTCAAGCTCCTTCATCCTTGTTCTGCCGACAGCTGATCTGTGTCTTGTTTCTTGACCCCTGGATTGTTTGTTGTAAAAATCAATCTAAGTAGGCAAAGCTGCCCACCACTTCTGCATCTTCACCATCAGTGGTAAAGTTAGAGGTTCTGTCGCCAAAACCTCTGTTTTCTCCGTACGGAGCCGAAATCCCATCTTTTCACTCTGTTCTTTAACTTTATTAGTATAAGGGCCTTCAGGTCTTCCTGAGTGTTGTACCATCCACATATCAAAGGTTTTGATTCTACACTTAAAAAGAACAGCAGCAGGAATCAATCAATCATCATCATACTCTACAATGATGCATCTGAATTTCCTAATATCTGTATGAATTAAGAATGTCAACACAATCTTTGTGAAAAGTAATAAATGACTAAACTGGTCTGATGGTTTTAGTTAGTCAACATGAACAGAGTAATAAAGAAAGAGCACAGAAAAAGAACATGAACCTTAAACTGAAATGTTGTGTCTGTATCTGTAGTGTCTGGAACTATGTGTGGTGATGTTCAGTCACCACTAGGTGGAGCTCCTGCTCAGACAGACAAGGAGCCTTCTCACGTCGCTCTGCTTTAAACTGCTGCACATGCGCTTTATTACACACACTATAATGTACTTAACCACTTCGCAGCCTCTCACACTCTCCTGTAATCAGTACATACACGCACTGAAGCTTGTTGTGTGCAATATATATATATTTTATAGATATGTTTACATTTATATTGATATTTGCTGCTTAATTCTCTTAGTTGTACATGCTGTATATGTGTCTCAATACCACAGTACTTTATAGTATCTTTACTGTCTCCTTCTCAACATCCTTTCACTTTGTTTGATTTGTCTGATTTCTATATATATATATATATATATATATATATATATATATATATATATATGCTGCTGTTGGGGCAACACCTTGTATCTCCATTTTTGTCCTAGTTTGAAAAAGGCGGTTGCCCTTTATGTTGTTCCAAAATTTTATGATGAACAGACCGATATATTCTATATATCTTTGATATATTCTAGATATCTTCTATATTTATTTTATTGACACCTGCACCAAGAAAAATTCCATGCACACCTGGAAAATAAAGGTTCTGATTCTGACAGAGAGAGAAAGAAGTCAGACTGAACTCAGTAGATGGGTCCAGCTTGGCGGCAGAAGAGCCAGGTAGAGTCGTCTAACCTCGTCCTTCAGGAAAGATCTGTTAATGCAGTGAAATACTGACCAGAGTAAAAGTAAAAGCACCTTTCCAAAAAAACAAGTACAAAATCAGCTTAAAAACTACTTAAGTACTGAGTAACTGTTCTTTGTATCTGTTTGTGGCCATTTTGTGCATTTTTCCATTGTTGTATTATGTGCAGGTACATGATTGGCCACTCGGGGGCGCCTGGGAGTGTAAGAGGTTCTGTGAACATTTCTCCTGGTTGAGGTAGGGAGTTGGGGTGACATGTATCTTTTTGTTTCTTCTGTTTTTAGGTTTAGATAGTTTTTGTTTGTTATTTTGTCGAATGCTTGTCCCTGAAGCTGTCACCTCAACTTTTGAAGCTTTGAAGAAAATAAACCTGTCATTTTCTAGTTTAAATGGTGTCCAGTGTCTGGTCTGGCAGCAGGTCTGGGGAGAGAGCCCACTCTCATTGTCTGTTACGGCCTGACCCTAGACTGGGTTGTAACAGAACTGGGGGATCGTCCATTCTTGACTTTGTCCAGAACTGCAGTGGAACCTCTTAGTACATCCAGCATCTATCAGCAGAAGAACTACAAGGCTGACATCAGTTGCTCTTTGAATTTTTCATTCCACTTTAAATGCTACTGCTTCAGACAAGAAGCTGATGAGTGACAGGAACTGAGGATTGCACGTCTCTGTTCTTCTTCTGGTCTAAAATAAAATGCTGAAGCTCCAGAGTGAGAAGAGAGACCAACAATAAAGCAGAACAGCAGCTGAACCAACACAGCAGATCCACATTAAACCCAGAAAACAGAATTAGGACCTGAATGTTACTGACTGAAATGGAGCTGAGGAATAACTAGATTACTTTCTAATTTGCTTGAGTAGAAATAAAAGTATCATCATCAAAAAGTATTCAGGAAAGTACAAAACCATCAATCGCTCATATCACCACTGTTTACAAAGCTACCTATATCTTTTGGTATAGATTTGAAATCTACAACACCATTTCCAAAAAGTTGTGCAAAATATAAATAAAAACAAAATGCTAAGATGTGCAAATCATTTAAACCCTGTATTTAATTGAAAATAGTCCAAAAACAACATATCAACTGTTGAAACTGAGAAATTTTATTGTTTTTTGAAAAATATTTGCCCATTTAGAATTTGATGCCAACAACACATTCCAAAAAAGTTGGGACGGGGTCAACAAAAGGCTGGTAAAATTAAGTAATTCTCAAAGAAAAAAAACACCTGGTGGTTAATTGGCATCAGGCCAGTAAAATGAAAGCATTCCAGAGAGGCTTTCAGAAGAAAAGATGAGGAGGGGTTCACCAATCTGTGAAAGACTGCACCATCAAATAGTGCAACAATTCAAGAAAAACGCAAAGAACTTCTGCTTTTCATCATCTACGGTACATAATATCATTAAAAGATTCAGAGAATCTGGAGAAATCTCTGTATGTAAGGGACAAGGCCAAAGACCAGTATTTGCTGGCCGTGATCTTTGGGCCCTCAGGCAGCACTGCATTAAAAACAGATATGATTCTGTAGTGGAAATCACTGCATGGCCTCAGAAACACTTCTGAAAACCACTGACTGTGGAAACAGTTCATCACTGCATCCACAAATGCAAGTTAAAACTCTGAAACAGAAAGAAGAAACCAAATATAAACAGGATCCAGAAACGCTGCCACCTTCTCTGGGCCTGAGCTCATTTAAAATGGACTAAGGGGAAGTGGAAAAGTGTCCTGTGGTCCGACGAATCAACATTTGAAACTCTTTTTGGAAATCATGGACACTGTGTCCTCCGGGCTAAAGACCACTCAGCTTGTTTTCAGTGTACAGTTCAAAAGCCAGTATTCATGATGGTATAGGGGGCATTAGTGCACATGACATGGGTGATGTGCACATCTCTGAAATTAATGCTGAATAATATATACATGTTTTGGCAACATATGCTGCCATCCAGACGACGTCTATTTCAGGGAAGGCCTTGATTATTCCAGCAAGACAGTGTCAAACCACATTCTGCATGTATTACAAGAGTCCGGGCGCTAAACTGACCTGCCAGCAGTCCAGACCTGTCACCACTGAAAACATTTGGTGCATAAAAATACAACAAAGGAGACCAAAAGAAAGAAAGGGGAATAAATAAAATGAGTCGATGCTTTTTAGGCTTCAGTGTGGAGTACACACATAAACACTTTTTTAGATACTGCATTTCCATATTATTTTGAGGAAGAAAGTCACTGGATGAACTATCGGTGCAGTCAATTCAAGAGGCAGCTGAACAAAAATTATTAGAGACTCATCCGAAACCCCCCGTGTTTGAAGAGATTTCTAAATAAATGTCTGAACGCGGCCGCAGGAGAACGAGGCTGCAGCGTCAAAGAACAGTTAAAAGTCTGAAATCCGAGGACGCGAACCAAAGAAGTGACCGCGCCCTTTTTACTCGAACACATTCTGGGTGATGAGCCCAGCTGTCAGTCAGTGAAGCTTCATGATGGCTCCTGTGATGCTGGTGATTAGCTGCGTGAAGCAGCGTGACACGTTTTTCTTTTGAGCATGTGGGTCAGTTTAGGAGCTGATCTGTTCAGACTCGGATTTGTTGGGAAAATCAGATTTGGGCCACTTTTACCTGCTGTGTGAACGTAGCCTAAGTCTTAAGAAAACTGATGTCTTAGTCATTCCTCATCTATAAAACACACTAATTACTTTCTTGTCTTTCAAGTCTTCATGTTAAGATTTGACCTTGACTTAAGAAAATATATCAAGACGTCTTGTCTAAGACTGTCAAAACGTCTTCGGGCACAGTGACAGTGATTTTTTTTTTTTTTACAATGTAGTGGTCAGATAATGACCTACAGCAGGTCTGTCCTCTCACAGTGTGTTTAGGTTACCAGAGAAAGGACTGAAAGCTGATACAGACAATAACAAGCAGACACCAATAAACAGGTACTTAATCAGGTCATAAATAGCATATAAAAGACCGTATGACTGATGCTCGTCTGCCCACATACTAACGATTCCTGACTAGAACACAGGTTCAGCTGGGTCACTCCGCCGTTAGCTTTTCCTGGCCTTCACAACGAGAGCTTTCTCTTTTAATTTCTCTAATACTTCACAATGCAGGACTTTTCAGTTAGCCAGACCAAAGTCAAGCTATCAATCATTCAATCAATCAGTCAACGTTTATTTAAGCTCTGAGTACATTGAGGGAGACCCTCATTTACAATGTAGCCGAGCCAATACAGAAAACAGGAATTAAGAACTTGGAAAGTAAAAACATTAAAAAAGCTAAAACGTAAAGGTAATCATAGTGCTAAAATTAAGAAGTATTAAATAAATAAAAAAAACAATTAATGAAATAATAAAGAGATAGAAGATGTAATACAAATTGAAAAATAAATAAAAGGGAAAAATGCCCTTTACCAATAGACTGGATGCTGCTAGGCAAAATTAACACACTGATTTGAAAGGATTGGTCACATTTTCTCCCTAGTCTACACCAGTAGATCCCCAGGTCTGCTCCCTAGTCTACCCCAGTACATCCCCTAGTCCGCTCCCTAGTCTACCCCAGTACACCCCCTAGTCCGCTCCCTAGTCTGCCCCCAGTCCATTCCCTAGTCTACTCCATAGTCTGCCCCCAGTCCATTCCCTAGTCCACTCCCCAGTCTGCCCTAGTACATCCCCTAGTCTACTCCACAGTACATCCTCTAGTCTGCTCCCCTGTCTCCCCAGTACATCTCCTAGTCTGCTCCCTAGTCTGCCCAACAGTTAGTAGAATCCCTAATCTGCTCCAGTCCATCCCCTAGTCTGCCCCTTGTCAATCCCCTAGTCCACTTCCTAGTCTGCCCCCAGTCCATCCCCTAATCTATCCTCTAGTCAACCTTCTAGTCTGCCCCTAGTCCGTTCCTGGGTCTGCCCCCAGTCCACCAACTAGTCCACTCCCTAGTCAACCTTCTAGTCTGCCCCTAGTCTATCCTCTAGTCAACCTTATAGTCTGCCCCTAGTCCACTCCCTAGTCTCCCCCTAGTCAATTGTACATTCGTTAGACTGCCCAATAGTTAGTACATCCCCTAATCTACTACCAAGTCCATTCCCCAATCTGTGCAATAGTTAGTGCAATCCCTAATCCGCCCCAGTCCATCCCCTAGTCTGCATCCTAGTCCATCCCTGAGTTTGCCCAGTAGTTAATACATCCCCTAATCTGCTACCAAGTGCATTCCCTGGTCAGCCCCCTAATCCATCCAGTGGTCTGCTCCCTAGTTCATTCTCTAGCCCCCAAGTCCATCTCTCTGGGGCACTGATGACCAGGTGGGGAACTACTACTCTAGTACATCTTCTAGTCTGTCCCTCAGTCCTCATCCTCTAGTCATTTTACTAATTTGTCCTTTAGACCATCCCATATTCTATCCTCTGGTCCATGGATATTGAACTGGGTTCTTCTGGGCCCAGTTCTATGGAGATTCCCTGATTTTCCAGTCACATTAAAGCCTTGCTAATTAGCTGATGAATCAGGTTAGCTTAATGAAGCAGAACATTAATCTCTGTAGAGCTATTTTTAGTTCTCTAACTCTTCCACTTGTCCATTCTCTGGTCCGGCCACTTGCTTTTTTCACTTTTCTTTAAATTTGCCAGCAACAGAAATGTTGGTCTGTACTCAGCATTGCAGTACTAGTTGTATTAGCTGCTGCCTCACATTACATTTTTGAATACGGCTAAATCGAACCACATGTTTATATTTTCAGAGTTGGTAGAGGTGGTACTGAAAACAAGGCACTTTATAGTATACAGTGTGATAAAGTGTTTATTTAACAAAAATATTACAGAAAATTATCCTATAATACCTAAACACAATCATATTCAACAGTGCCAACCTATTAAGCATTAAATAAACACAAAACATGCCAGTTTAACAATGCATTAACATAATGTTGGACAAAATAAATACATTCAAACAGCGTACACTGTAGAACTGGATACAGTCATAAAACACTGTAAATTCTCAGAACAGTCTTTCCAAACAACTTTACACTGAAATTCAAATAAACGTCTGACACACAGCTTCCAAGGAATCACACTATATTATAGTGTTCTTAACTTTGCCCCACCACCACCACCACCACCACCCCAACCCCTCCTCTTTCACTCCTCTTTGGGAAGAAGCCTACAGGACGACTGTCTGCCCACCCAGAATCCGGGCAGTGTTTTCTCTTTGATGGGGTTTTTGACTCTGTGCAGCAGTTTGACCTCCTTCTTCCCAGCACTGCTCCTCTCCACAGCGTAGAAGCAGAGTAACCCAGCAGGCTGGTCCAGGTACACGCCGATGGAGGAGCACTGAGGGACCTGCAGCTCCTGCTCACAGGGATGGAGATATGACGACAATACGATATCACTTTAATGTTCTCCTGATCTCTGCATTCCCTTTCAGCCTGTATATGACTTTATCACCTCGTCCACTGTCTGTTTTTCTTTCTTCTTTTCTTTCTGTCTTCTTTTTCAAATCTTTCTTTTTCTTTCTTTCATTTCCTTTCTTTTTCTTTTTTGTCCTTTCTCTTTTTCTTTTCTTTCTGTCTTTTCCTTCTTTTTTCTTGTCTTTCTTTCTTTCTTTTTCTTTCTATCTTTCTTTTGTCTCTTGTTGCTTTTCCTTTGTTTTTCTTCTCCTCATGCAGTTAATACAGTCTGAACCTCTTACAGACTCAGCTGAGTGTAGTGTAGATGATCTCAGTGAGAGATGCTGTTTCTCATTTTCATCACTTTTACACTTTAGACATTATTTTAGATCAGATGGAATCAGATGGTGGAACCTTCTCACAGTGTGACGTCCAAATGCCACAGCTGATGATGTCATAATGTCATTGAATCTGATTGGCTGAGCTTGTTTAAAGGGCTTCTACTGCTCTCTGCTCTCCCTCTCAGCCTTTAAAAGGCTTTAGAACCTCATCTACCATCTTTCTTTCTTTCTTTTATTATCTTTGTCCTTTTCTTCTTTTGTTTTTCTCTTTTCCTTTCTTACTTTTTCTTCTCCTAATGCACAACTCAACCTACTTAGGGCACAGACTCCATTCAAACATTGTTTTGTAGATAATTTCAGGGGCAGGTTTGTTATCGACTTTTTATTTCATGAGTTTTATATTTACAATATTTGGTCTCACTTTATTTAGATAGTCCCCTATAGATCATCTACAGATGTTCAAATTGTTAACAAACTATCTGCTGAAACTCAGTTGATTCTAAACAGTGGTGGGGTTAGGATTAGGGGTAGGACCAGAGTGAGGGTTAGGTTTAGGTTTTGGGTTGAGGTTAAGGTTAGTGTTAGGATTAGGGCAGGTTTAGAGTAGATGATTTTGATGGGGGCGTGTGTGGTGGTTGGCCTTGGTCAGGGCATGTGCGGTGTTTGCATGGGGTTAGGGGCATGTGTGCTACATGGTTGAGGGCGTTCAGGAAAATGATGGTCAATTTAGTAGATATTTAATTTAGTTAGTGTTGAAGTGCTGCTTATACCCATGATATTCAGAAGAGCTTATTGTGATGTAATTTATCATGACAGTGTCATCCCATCATCATATCACCCACCCCTACCTGGTTAACTCCTTTGTGCCAGGCGTGGTAGGACGACCCAGCCCAGCCCAAACTCCATGAACCCTCGTTCTCTCCAAAACCACAGGGGCCATCGCAGTTCCTCCTGCCCTCGCTTTCATATGCCACCCCGATCATCACCCAGCCTGAATACTCCACCTCCCAGTAACCCCGAGACCCCCACAGCCCCTCCTTACACAGCACCTGCAAACACACATCCTGCTTTAAACTGCAGTCACTAAACAATCAGCAGTTTGTGTCTGATTGTGAAATAACCATGACAAAGTGGGACTGAAAAACTGACAGTGGAAAAATGGAAAATCAACTGTCACGTCTGTTAGCTAGCCGATTTAATAAGATATGAAGTGTAGAAACTGTTAAAATGATCATTCTGGATCTTCAGCACTGCTTCATGAAGAACTGCTCCTCTGCTGAATGACTGTTGGAGATGGAGCTGAACTGAACAGAGTGTTTGTCTCTTACCTGAGGGGAGTGTTCATATCTCTCCGGTCTGTCCAGGTAAGGACACACCTCGTCATTCATCCGTGACACTTTAGCCCCGCCCTCCGTCAGCCACAGGAGCTTATTGGCTGTCCGCTCATCCATAGAAAGACTGACCCAATCTGAAGAAGGCAAAAACGTCACATAGACAAGATGCAGGGGAAAAATATGTAAGAGAGACAGAGACAGAGAGAGAGACAGAGACAGAGAGAGAGAGAGAGACAGAGAGAGAGAGAGAGACAGAGAGAGAGAGAGAGAGACAGAGAGAGAGGAGAGAGAGAGAGAGAGAGAGAGGGAGAAAGAGAGAGAGAGGAGAGAGAGACAGAGAGAGAGAGACTCACGTTTGAGGAGCTCTGTTCTGCATGTGGGCTCTGGGATGTTAGCATCATAAACTGGTGGTTTCTCTACACAAAGAGACAGAAAGGGACAAAATAATATAGCAAATGATTCTAATTTAGCTAAAAATGTTTAGTGACTGTATAAGGTTTAAATGTTTAGTATATCATGATGTAATGCAATAAAGTTACCACAGACGTTTTATAAATGGATGATAATTGCCTTTTATAGGTGGTTGGTTGGGGTTAGGTTTGTGTGGTAGATGGGTGCATGTAGTAGGGCATGTGTGGTAGACGTTTGGGATGAAAAGCTGAATATACAGCCAAAAATATGCTTGAGTGAAAGTAACAAAGCGTCAACACCAACACACTGAAATACGTCAGGGTAAATCTTTAAACAGATAGAAGATGAATCAGAATCAGCTGTGCAGTTTAGTTTTGCAGTTTCACTCACAAGAGGAAAATAAAACAGTGAGAGGTCGAGTTTAAATAAAAATATTAGGAGTAGAAAATAGGAAGTAACTTCAATAATGACTGAGTAAAGGACAAATCTTCCAAAATAATACTCAAGTACTGTGAGTACATTTACTCACTGCAGGTTCAGAGAGAGTGTGAGAGAGTTTCACTCACCAGTGAGTCTGTTTCCAGCTTTGGTCCTTCTGCCTGAAAGAGAGCATGAAGAGATTTTACTGGGGTTCAGTATCAGAAATCAGCTGAGCTCTGGAATCTACTCAACTCATCACTGTCACTAATGCAGAAATCATAAACACACCAAAGATCAGAAACCAGGGACAAAAGACGTTAGATTTTTGTCTGAAAGGAAACAGTAGCTAGTTTGATAACATTAGCCAAAGTCGGGGCTACCTGCTTCAGGATGCTTCCACACTGTTATCTCTCAGTAAAAACAGGTAATGGAGTTTATCTATAGAAGTTACACTCATTCACTGTTAACACTCTGGGGTCCAAAAACTCGCTCACGTATCAAATATCGTTTCTATATCTGTGTCTGTATCTTTGTGATGATCCAGCACAGAAATCCAGTTCAAACACTTCCTGAATCTGTAGAGTCACCCTTTCCATTCCATCTTATCACGAGATCATACGAGACTCACATCCGGAGTTATGAGCCTATGAAGAGGGGCTGAGAGTTTAAGAAGATATGAACAAATCAAGAGAATGACTCCCGGAGGGTTCATGACAGCTCAATGGAAATTCAGCAAAGATTCAGGACAAGAGTGTAACAATAAGGAAGCAAGCAGACAGCACAGGGTAACATTATCATAAAGTAAAGTTTAATTTATTATAATAAATTACAAACTAATTTAAAGCTTTATTTCTGATTTTATTTGAGTTGTAGAGAATCAGTGTAGAAGACTGAAGTTTGTCTCCTGCCAGATCATAAACAGCTGAAAGTGTGACACATTTAGACAGACAGACAGATGTACTTTACTGATGGCCAAAGAAAAAAATTGGGAAGAAAAAAAAAAAAACAGAAATACATCATCCTTATAAAATTTATACTGACCAATCAAACAATAATGCTCAAAATATCTAGAACTGACAAAAACAGAGAAACAGTGCAGGAGCTTCTGTTGTGCAGAAATATTCATGAGATAGAAAACTTCTTATATTTAATATGATAGTAATGTCTTGAAAATAGTAAAAAGGGCCAGACATTTAAAGAATAAACACATTAAAGACATTAAAGTGTTAAAAAAGTTAACAAATACATTTTATTAAGGCTTTTTATGTGATTAAGTTTGAACAACCTGGGTCTTTAGCTTGTGTTAACTTAATTTCACTTACAAAATCAACAAAAGATGGAATTTGGCTGAGGCACTCAAACTTCTGCACACAGCAGTAGGTGTATGTATCGTAAAGGTGAAGTTGTACCTGGCTTTCTGCTCTCAGGGAGGATTCTAGCGGTGGTTGGCATGTTCAAGGTTCTTTGGAGGTTCTTTAAAGCTTCTTTGAGGTTCTTTAAAGCTTCTTTGAGGTTCTTCAGGGTTCCTCAGGGTTCTTCTCGTTTTTCTCCTGCACAGAAAGAGTTTCCCTCGTGGTGTGTGCCGGGCAGTGGTTGTCCGGTGGTTCTTATATAGCCGTATAGCGCCGGGCTTGTGTCCAATTGGGCCATGGGGATACACACTTCAACCATATAAAGATCTGATCACACACACACAATAACTGTATGAAGATCTTATCACTTACACACACTCAGATATTCAGCTATATAAAGCTGTGATCACACATTCAGGTCAGGATGGTGGGGGTCAAACTCATAAACAGCACATGGTCATAAACATGTCTGTTACCATAAACACCTTAAAGGATTTTATGTTCCATGAAAAGTTAAATATATAAAAAATAAGTTTACAAATATATTAAAAATAAAAATATATACACACACAGACCATATATACACCTGCTAGTGGTTTGGTGGCTTGTTGAGGTGAGGAGGCTTGTGTTTATCAGTAAGTATAGAGCTATACTGCCTGGAGTTTTAAGTCCTTTCAAGGTCTTCTCTTTTCACAGACCATCTATATCGGGCAGCAACAATGTAGGGCGATGTCAGCAGAGGACAGAGGTGTGGACTCGAGTCTTAGTACTTGGATTTGAGTCATGAGTTTAATGACTTAATCAACTCCAAAAAATCAAAAAAGAATTGTGACTTGACTTGACTTGAGCATCCAATGAGTGTGTTTACATGCATTTAATAATCTGATCATTTACAGATTTCTGCAGTTTTCTGATTATTAAGTGGTCGTGTAAACAGCACATTCTGATTTCTTGGATTAAGATAAATCTGATTAATAAATCTGATAAAGATAATGGGGTTTCTCAGTGCCATAAACTCTCACTCTGATTTCTTTCATTTCTCTCAGTCTGAGCATGTGTGAAAACAGAGCGCCATCCCAGAAACTGCAACATTTAACACAGAACCCGCGAGACCAACACAGCACTTTTGGAGCGACGCTGAAACTGAATACACGCTCGACCAAATGAAGGGTTTAAATACTCTTCATCTTCTAGATGATGTTTGATCATATTTTCAGCTAAAGTGGCGATGTTTAAAAAAAAGCCACTCATGAAGTTTGAGTTTTACCTTACGTTTACATCACGTCTAATTCGGTGAGTTTACTGGCTGGCTGTAAAGCAGAAATCTGATTACTGCCTGATTCATGTAGACCTGGAGTTTCCCCATTATCTGATTACTCAAGAGCATGAAAACATAATGAACCAGTCACTGACAATCTGATTTTCTGAAGTTATCAGATCATTAAGTGTAAACACACTGAACCAGTTAGTGACACAATCTGATTTTCTGAAGTTATCTGATTATTAAGTGCCTGTAAACACACTTACTGACTCAGACTTTGATTTGGACTCGAAACATATGACCAGAAAAGAACTTACCAGGCAAACTTACCATTTTCATCAAAAGAATCTGAGCTCTCTCCATTTCAACGATTTGAATGGCTTCTGCAGTTAAACAAGCGTAACATTCACCACGAAGCTGAAGTTGACTTTTTGTTCTTCAGCTTGTTCCACCTAAGTGGCAGAACAAGTTACATTCTGGTGTCTAAACACTGCAGGGTTTAAGATGGAACTGAAAAGTGGAAGAAGAAGAAGCCACTGTTAGCTTTGTACATTCACCATCACTTTGCCTACTTGTAAGTGTAAATGTTGTTCAGCGCAGTCATTTTGATTTCTGTAGTTTGTTGTTTAAATTCAAGTAGAACCAGCTGTTGTTATTAGCTGAGTTAGTTTTAGTGCTGAGCCAGTTTATAAGTTAATCCTACTAAAAATGATCATCTTCAAAACTAAAGTTTTTTATTAAATTCAATTGCATTAAACCTGAACTTCCACTTATGTTATAAATGACAAACTGCTGCTTATATAATTGGACTCGAATTTCTCAAGTGATGAATTTGATGACTTGAGACCTGACATGAGAAATTCGAGAAAGACTTGCGACTTGGACTTCGATTCGAACACCAATGACTCGGACTTTGGCTTCGACTTGAGCCTAATGACTCAGAAAGACTCGAGACTCAAAGTGGAGGAAAAGTGGAGAGTCAGACTGCAGACGGGACTCTACACAGCCATTTACTGTTCATGTGAATGGATTAGTTTCCTGCCGTAAATCTGATACAGCAGCATCGTCAGATGTCTGTCACTGTGTTTATGCTTGGCTTATTTTATTTCAGAAGATGAGTGAAGCATCAATGGACCCAGTTCACCGCTTAGAGTGTTACTGGAGAAACTCACCAGGAGAACTGACCTTTTTCCTCATGGCAGCAAAAATAAAGAAACACAGTGTCTCTGTTTGACTGAATTTAACAGCTTCTGCAGGTAAAACAAGCACAACATTCACCACGAGGCTGAAGCTGACTTGTTATTAGCCAGCTTCATATTCAAATTTTCCGTTCCACCTTAAATGGTGCATCAACCGGGTGCTGGAACGTAACTGCTGCACCATTTCAGGTGGAACGGAAAATTCAAATAAGAGCCTGGCAAAAAGTCAACTTCAGCTTCGCACATTCAGCATCACTCTGCTGTCTTTACTGTGAACTCTGTTCAGTCCGGTTGTTTCAGTTTCTGTTGTCTAAATTATATTCAAACTAGTGGTTGTGTTTAGTTGACTGAGCTTGTTTTAGAGCTGTAGTTTTTATTTTGATCCTATGTGCTCAATGTTCCCAAAAACTCTCCTAAATTATCTTCAAATGTATATTTTTTTTAAATTAAAGTTCAATAGAACATAAAATGATGTTTGTGTGTAGATGCTGCTCTTTGTGTATAGCATTATATCATTATACTAAGGCTAAAAAATAAATAGCCATACGCCACTAACCTGCTGTCATTAAAGGGCTGTATTACTGTTGCCATCATTTTTGACTTGAATTGAGACTTGACTGTCTTGACTTGGAACTTGACTCGGGACTTGAGTGTCAAGACTTGAGACTTACTTGTTACTTGTGACTTGTTTCCACCTCTGCCAAAAACAGAGCAGCTTTTTTGTTATCTGTAATTATAAAATGTGCAGCTAAAATAATACAAATCTTTAAACATGTTTTTTTTAACTAAAATAACACATTCCCAATTTCTAGCTGAAGCTATGAGCACTGAAGCTCAGCTGCACATGAACTCAGTTGGGTTTGGTGTGGAGTGTCGGTTCTCAGTATGCAGGGTCAGTCAGTAAAGCGCAGTGTCCGTCTCTGTTTATATCTCTGAATAAACGCAGTCGGCATCTCAACTGATGAACACCACCATCTACAGCACTGCAGGGTGCGTTATATTTACACAGTGCATGGATTATCAGGTGCCATGTGACACATCAACTACTCTTCAAAACAAGCTCCTCGTCATAACAATATTATTCATATTTTATTTATCTTTAATCCGAATCTGCTTCAAGGCTCTTTGATGTGCTATTGCATCTTTGATTTTCTGTCTAATAGAAAACAGAGTGTTCAAATGAAGAGTGTGGTTTCCACTCCTCGAATTCCTAATGCTGGTGACCCCCCAGGGCTGTGTTTGTCTCCTCTATTATAGCAGATCATGATTTGATCAAATTGTCCAGATTTGCAGATAATACGACATTAGTGAGATTGGTATCACAACAGTGAGCACACAGGGACGTGATCAGAGCCTTAGTAGAGTGCAGAAGGGTGAAAGTTCATTCTCTCTGGATTTGTTCATCTCTTCTTAATCTCCCCTTTAAAGTCTCTTCATATATCATGATCCTCATATGTTTCATATCTAAATGCTCCGTTATCTTCATCACTACTTTCCAAAACCGCTGCAGCAGCTTCAGCAGCTGTAAACTCTCTGCACGCCGTTTCACATGAGTCTCCGATGTGGACTGAATGAAGAATGAAGGGTTTCCGGCGTGATGGTCAGTCCTTAGTGATTTCCTGCGTGTCTATTGGTCAGTTTCACACAGAATGTAGACGGACACACGAATCCATCAGCTCCACACGGTGAGAGGCAGATGACGTGTATCTCAGCCCCTTCATAGGCTCATAACTCCGGACTTAAACCTCAGAGACTTGAGACTTGACTTGGACACTCACCTCAGAGACTCAAGTCTCGACTCGGACTTGAACCTCAGAGACTCGACTCAGACTCCCATCCCAGAGACGCAAGTCTTGACTAGGACTCAAACTTTAGAGACTCATCTCAGACTTGAACCTCAGAGACTCGAGACTCGACTCGGACTCTCACCTCAGAGACTGGAGACTTAACTCGGACTCTCACCTCAGAGACTCAAGACTTGACTCGGACTCTCCCATTAGAGACTTGCCTTATACCTTCACCTCAGAGACTTGAGACTTGACTCGGACCTACACTTCAGAGGCTCAACACAGACTCTCACCTCAGAGACTCGAGATTCGACTCAGATTCTCACCTCACAGACTCCAGTCTCGACTCGGACTTGAACCTCAGAGACTCAAGACATGACTCAGACTCTCCCCTAAGAGACTCGCCTCAGATTCTCCTTTAAAGGCTAAACGCTGTGGATGGTGAGTGATGGTCTGGAGCACTCCACTACTTGAGGCTGATGTTCTCAGTAGGTCTGTCTGACTGCTTTTGTTACAAAACCCAGTAAAACATCCAACTTCAGGCTTATGATCCTGTAGTAAGTTTGGTACTAGAAAAATGCCAACCATACACACCGGTCAGGCGTAACATTATGACCACCTCCTTGTTTCTGCGCTCATTGTCCATTTTATCAGCTCCACTTACTGTATAGGTGCACTTTGTAGTTCTACAGTTACAGACTGTAGTCCATCTGTTTCTCTGATACTTTGTTAGCCCCCTTTTACCCTGTTCTTCAGTGGTCAGGACCCCCATGGACCCTCACAGAGCAGGTACTATTTGGGTGGTGGATCATTCTCAGTTCTCAGCACTGCAGTAACACTGACGTGGTGGTGGTGTGTTAATGTGTGTTGTGCTGGTACAAGTGGATCATTCTCAGCACTGCTGCTGGAGTTTGTTGATCGGGTGTGTATGTGTGTGTGTTGTGTGTCTGAGGAAACATTTCATTTCACACACACACACACACACACATATATA